GGAATATTTTCCAACTGACAACTACGAAAAGAAGCTTGAATATTGGTTCATATATATGTATATATAATTTTAACAATACATACCTACGTCGTATAAACCTCGATGGGGATCTTGTTCTCGAGCTCTGTTTACAATGAGAGGACCAGCTAATCCGTCTGATCTTTGAAAGCCAGAATGCGAATGCCACCAATGTGTACCTACGGTAAGTAAATCACTGAATAATAATAGAATCGACTGACTTTGACTTTCATAAAGTTAGAAGTTTCAAAAATAGTTTGAATGGTCAATCATATTAACTAATTAAGACGAAAAATGCTTTATCTTATATACCTGGAGGATCTGCTGAAAACTCATACGTGAACGTAGTTGTGGATGGGATGCCACACTGTGTTACCATGGGAACACCATCCATGTGTGGTGTATCTTTCATAAAAAGACCATGCCAATGAATTGTGAGGCTTTCGTCGTTAAGGAGTTGATTATCAACCAATACACGAACAGTATCTTTGTGACAAACCTGAAAAGATTTTAAATGTTGAAAATATTTTTAATATTGTAGAGAAAATTTTCTGAGAAAATCTGGGAAAGATGCTACTCAAAGTACAAAATATATCATTATCTTATTAATTATCTTTATTGTTTTAGAATTTCATTTACTTAACATTGTTGAAGTCAGGTTTACAGACCTGTAAGATTAGCTTATAGATCACGTTGGACACACAATTTAATTAAACTATTCAAGTTAACTAGATAATAAAATTTAATAATCGAGTAAAGGTGGAATTCAGGAATATCAGTCACCCTGATGGAAGGTCCTGGAAACTGCCTGTTTACAGTCACCAAAGGTCTACCAACACCATCCGCAGGAATACAATGAGGTCTTGAGCAGTCGTTCGTAACATTTGGACAATCGTAACATGCTTTCGACATTGTGTAGTACCTTGTAAATATTCATTATAACTTTATAGCAACGGTAACATTTTTATACGTCGTGTTTGGGCTTTTATTCAGAAAGAGTACAATCCTCCATTGATATCTGAGTATAGTTATTACTTTATTCTCTTAGTTTACAAATGTAATGGTATAGAAGGTGCTTTTGAAAAATAATAATAATAAGGTTGACTAGCATTTCTTTGCTAAGCAATAAACATAGGTCAGTTATTTCTATTCCAAACCAGTCTATCATAGTAATCTATCTTTTGCATATTTCTCATTCACGACATAATTATGTGAGGGTCAATTGACAAACATTTTCATGTTGAACTTTTCTTGTCGTTTAATAAGCAAATATCATTTCTTTATTACAATATAGCATATATGTGTATTTATAAAATTATGAAACATCATACCATTCAATTACAAAGTCGTATTCACAAATTTTTGGCGATGGAGGGTATTCACACTGCCTGTCGCATGGGTGGAGATCTTAAAAAAAATGGCAAATAAATACAAAATTTTGAATATTTCGTCATTTAATGCATCTAATCGCAAGAAGTGATATTGTCAGTGTTTGCGCTTATTAAGGGATTTACGTTTTCAATCGGGTGATTGATTTAGGAAAGTTTAAAAGACACGAGAACCTAAATAAGAAAGTGGAAAAGTGAAAAGTTACAAGTGATAACTAGAGAAGACACCAAACGAACAAAATATGATTTAAAATAACCCACCTTTACTTTGAATCAACGTTGTACCAAATACATGTAAAACAATTAAGATTAGTTCACAACGCATCATTTCTCTTTTGCTCATTCAAATTTAGATAAAATAGTTTACGTTGAAAATACAATGGTAAAAAAATGCTGAAAAATCCGATATTTGAAAGCGACAATAAAAATTTACATATATAATTGAACACACCCACAACAGTAATGCTCAAATATATGGACACGGAATTGTTACCGCCAAATCCTCCGAACGCCGTACAGTCACAAAACGGTATGTATGTTCTAACACTTATTTTTGATATTTTAATCAATATTTCAATTACCTAGATTCCCAGAATATAATATAATTAAATAAAGAGAGAAAATAATATGCGAACGAAACATCTGAATTGGTAACCGATAAACACAATTTTGATTGTGTGTTTTTTGCAATAAATGTAATTTTCGGAGAATAATATTCAAAAAACGACTACATTTAGAATATATATTGAATGATTCTTGTTCGCACTACACTCGACGACTATTTTACACAATACTTTTTTATTTTCTAAATCCAAACTTCGAAGCAGCAGCATTTGTATACCTTATCGAGTTAACTTTCGCACTCCATATTGCCATTTCAAATATTTTCAATAGTTCAATGCAGTAACGTGTTTGACTTGCCATTTTATACGATCGACATTGAGCGGTATCTCGACAGGGCTCGCTTTCTGGCTAACAACAAATCACAAAAGATGATCACGTTATTGAAAAAATGACATTTTGAAGGGGAAGTCTGCGTTTGGCAAGCTACATACTAGACAACCATGAATATACACAGCAGTACGAGTTGCACGGATTGGAAACCCTATTTTTCTGTCAACTTCACAAATTATGTAATACGCATTCACAATCCTCACGCGTTTGTGATATAGCTGCATCCAAGCGGAAATATTTTTACTGCTGATGACAATGCCAACATAAAGGAGGGACGTCGAAACTACTGCAGCCCTAAACAACGATACATCATCACAATTTTTATAAATAAATTCAATAGATTTAATTAAATGCAAGTAAAATGATAAATTGCCCTTCAAAGAATCAAAAATTAAATATTTCGCAAGCATTGGCGGTCTTACTAAAGTGTTCGTGGAATTGAGACTCTTGGATTGCATGTGTATGAAAATACCGCCAAGTTTGATCATCAATTTTTCAAAGAACAGAAAACATTTGTATTTTAGCTAAAATGTCTATGTCTCAATGTCTCTTATGTCTCAATAAACAGAAAACGTTTGTATTTTAGCTCAAATTCACAAATTTTTGAATACTGTAGTTGAGAAACGAAATAACGTTTCATCACGACGCCTAACAAGTCACTTTACAAGTATCCACTGAAATGACAATATATAGAAAGTATTGCTAATGATTTGGTTTTTGCGGAACTACTTATTTTTTCTCCATCATTTTGTGCCGATGGATCCGTATAATGCAAGGATGCTGTAGCAACTGTAAAGATGACCAAGTGATTCAAGAGTCTTGCTGCACACTAACACAAATATATTTCTGTAACGTTTCGTCTAACCAAGATCAGACTTGCGTAATTCAACGATAATAGGAAAAGCAGTTGCATGCATATTTAGACAATTAGTGTAATACTATTGAAGTTACCCATGTTAATTAAATGATCAATAAAGTCGAATTCTTGATTATATAACAGCGGGTGACTGAAATGAAAGATAATTGATGAAATCTTTTTGTTTTAGGTTTAACAATTGAAGTCCAAATTAAACAATGTTGCGTGTTTCCCAGCATTGGAGCATGCGGGCACCTTTTTTTAATGTAAGCTATCCAATTACCATTGAAATCATGCAACGTTCCTATTTGAACCTTCTTTATTTATGTATTACATAATTCACTCAATTTAATTGGATAAAATTCAATAAAATTCAATTTAAACTCTGTGTCAATATACCATGTCTTTGCTCTTTGGACGCTCTTACACGTTCAATAGTTGGTAAATCTAAAAACATTTAAGTATGCAAATATATGCTGTTGAAGTTTCGTTGCCTTTTGATCTTGATCACCGCGTATCTTTCAACGTCTTTGCAGAAAAATGTGATGCACTGCATGCTCAACATTTTTGATCGAATAACTGTTCGATATATCAATATTAAAATATATGAATAGCTTATTGTAATACAATAACTTTTGGCCGTGAACTCGAGCATGATTAGTTTTAACTTGACAAATGAGCGCAGCTTTTGGAAGAGCACTATACCAAAATGATTTATTGAAATCCGCGATTCCGTCGTCTATTTTCAGGCAAGTCAGTCGTCAATGCATCATTAATCTAGGTGAAAGTTTTGATCATGCTTCGAGAAAAATGACATTTAAAAATCGGAATATAAATTTAATGCATTTTCTATTTCGACATTGGCTTTTAAAAATATTAAGCATATAAACTGAACAAACAATATATATGTATACCGCTCGTATTTTGCATACTGCGAACAGCGGAGAAAACGCAAGACATAGGTACAGCAAAACACGAAATGCGACGAGAGCAATTTAATACAAAATGCTATAGAAAACTGCAAATAAAAAACTGGCACCTCCAATCCAAGCAATCATGTAAAAATCAATCGCAAAGTTCATGTCTGTGACCTCATAAAGCGAAGTTATCACTCATCGATCTTGATCGGTGAGTCTGTTAAATAGGTATTTGGGAACTCCCGAAGTATGCGCACCAAGATGGCGCACAACCTGAATTGTGTACCAGGTTAGGGTTCAGGTTATGCGACATCTTGGTGCGCATACTTCAGGAGTACCGGTATTTGTTTGTTTGTATGTCTGTTAGACACTTTCGTATGTTACGCGATATCTCACGAAAGCGAGGTTGATCTGCTCTAAATTTTGCATGTGCATTCATCATATCTTGGAGCAGAAGCCTATTGATTTTGGATGAATTATGGCGAATTATATTTAGCGAATTATTATTTAATCAGTGATGGGACACGCGGTGTCGCTATTAAGACAGAGCAAACGATACACGCCGCTAGATCAATAAGTCGACGGTCGCTATCTCGTTCATGCCTTTGTCCTGATTTACTAGAAAACCGAATTTGTCAGAAGTTTATCAATTCTTAACCATTCAGGCCATGTGATCTTGATATACAAGTTAGAAAATCACGCACAATACATGCACTGTCTGAAGCTATAGGTCTCTTTCGGTCGGTATGATAGCAATTCATAAAGGTTAAAATCGTGGCAAATATGTAAAAATATACTAAAATCTACAAATCATCTTTGCACATTTGAAATAAAAAATATGTTTTGATGTATTTTTATTCAGAGTATAAACCAGTTAGTAGCTCATATATTATAATTGCAGAGTGTGGTATAAAGAGTTAAGCAATATAATTCAGCATCAGCATCATCTTATGTAACCGCATCTTGATACAAAGATATACAATTTTGAGGTATCAGTATAAACCAAAACTTTGCTGTTATTGTGAGATGGAATAGTGAGAAAATGCCACTTTAAGCGTCCGAAGGCAATAGGTATTTTAGCTATAATATAATATAGAAAGAAGCTGCTAATATCAACATCGTGAAATTCAGCAGCGCACTTCTTGCTGAGAACGTGCGAATCGCATCTGATTTTCCTCTCCCAATTCCACATGTAGGAAAATCCTCTGGTGGTGTTGGCCACTCACCCGAGCTTCCAACTCGAATTACCAACTCCATACCTAAATTAACGATACAAATCATATAAAGCTGTCTTTTGCTTAAAATAAAAGTATAAGCAATAAAGGCGATAGACGAGAAAATTGAGTGATCTGGTCAAAAGCTGTTCTTTCAAATCAAGTTTATTTTTTCCAACCAGTAAAAAGACATAAATCATGCAAAAAATAGGGGAAAATGATATATATTTACATTACTGTTGAAGGGAAGCCGCGGGAAACCAAAACTGGTTATCGAGCAGCGACACCCAATGTTCTAACATCTAATTCGACAGATTGGGGAGGAAAGTTTCAAAATTACTGATATTAATGGTAAATAATATATATATACTAATTTTGCAACGTGTATTAAATGAGCCATAAGACCAGCGAATAACCGGGGAATCCCCGTTTGCATTGGAAGACCTGTAGACGGGTAGCGAATGTGTTGTTCTGCAGAATAGCTGGGAAATTTTGAAGTTGACCTATCCATCAACGAGTTTGCATTGTAGAGTGTTAGGCAATGGACACCGATAAAAAAAAATCAGGTACAATATATAAAGTAAAATTAGCACGCTAGGCGTTGAAATAAAGAATATATGCATTCGATCACCAGCGCTAGCCTAACAACAGAACGGTACTGTTATCAGGTAACGTAACGGTGTGTTTTTGTTGAAATTTATCTCACATTTCTGGATGTACTTATAGGTAATAATGACATATATATAGTAAGAAACTGCATTACTTGCCCATTTTCAAATGAAGAGCCAGATGACAATGCAATGACCAAACTCCTGGATTATCTGCTAAAAATCGAACAACTGTGTATCCACCATCGGAGACGATTACTGAATCCTTGTAAATAGCATTAAAGTTATATTCAATACTCCCATTCCCATGTATTTCTCGAATTTCTTCTGAAGATATTTGTTTTCCAATTCTAGATTAATAGTTAGAATCTTGAAATTCTTTCGTTAGAATTATTGTTATAACAGTTTTTGGTTCAGATTTAAGAAGAACTCATTAAAATTTTGAGGATGGAAGCATTATTATTGATAATTCATTTTAAATGATTCAAGAAGTTCGTGAAACGTAATTATTTCTCAGTAATGCAGTACATCAGGGTCATTTTTAAAGAATAGGTGAAGAATTTGTCATCAAGGCAGTGGCAAATTGATTTTCACGAATGGCCAAAATCGTCTAGGGCTAGGCAATTAAAAATGTTTATATGGTGAGCAAAAACTTACTTTGTCAATCTTCTCAATATGACTCTACAATAGTATTGTATTCAATTATCTTATAAAAAAGCCTAACAAAATTCTTTACCTCCTCATTGCAACGACAGCAAAATGTTGTCCGTGAAGATGCATCGGATGTGCCGCGTCCACAAAAGGAAATTTTCCTTCGTCGTAGAAAACCAACTCAATCATTTCTCCAATATGTGCATCAATAACATGAGTGCAAGAGCAAAAATCGTCTTTGCAGAAGTCAGAATTAACTTGTCCCCACTCGTCCGATTCGGGATTACAAAATTTAGACTCGTCGATGTTTTTAGGTCGTGTCAGCATCGGATAAGAAGGAACAGAAAAAGAAATGTTATTGAGCTGAGGAAAGAAAAGTGGTGTTGCTTGCGGGAAAGGATAAAGGTCAGGGTCGTTGTAAGTTGGATGATTTCGCATGTTAATATCAAATCCGATGAAGTATGTATGATCCGGCTGCGCTGAAAATGTAAAAATAATAAAATATATTGACAACTATTTATCATAATTAATCATCACAGCATTATCAAATAATTTGCTATATATCCGTATTTATATTATATTAAAATATATTAAAGAATATATAGGGACTGTATAGTAAATATTCTGAGAAAAATATTTACTTGAAATTCAAATTACGGTAAATACTTTTTAATATAAATTGAAGCGATATGTGTTGTTTAGTTACTTTAGATTAGAATGGTGTAAAAATATCTTCCGACGTCATCTTGCAATTTTATCTACGTAGATATATATAAAATTGTTCAGAATGAGCGTACACTTGAAAATATTATGAAAAAATTGAAATTGTGATGTCAAAATGTTCTTATTTATTTAGTGAGCACTTCAACGGTCTTGCATGACACTTTCACAGTGGTCATGGTATTGACTTTTTAAACCATTCTATATAACAGTTTTGATTCATGCTATACATTATCTTTGGGGACAGTGCATTCGGATCCACCAACATAAAGGCAAGAAGAAAGGAACATTGGTTAGGTGAACACTACTCCAATACCATTTCTCTGTATTGTTTCATACCACTGTATCTGTCGCTGTCAAAATATACATCTGAATATACAGGCTTTAAAGACGATAGTTGTATATTTTTCTCGTTTTCTTCAAAAATAAATGGATTATTCAATTGTATCTTATCTTCCGGAGATTCTGCCGATGTTTGGGGATCTTCCATTGACGCACCTTGATATCTATGAAAGATGTTGTTGTTGTTGCTTTATGTTTTATGGCGATTATAACTTCAGTGGTCTTTTGCGCCATTGATCAATTTAAAAATACTATACTAATGTTTGAGAATGAATGGTTTCTTTTTCAAAGTTTATACCAGTGAAATTGTTAAAAGCGTATACTCACACAGTTAAACGTAAGGTAAAGAAATGCCAATTTTAAACCATTATCATTATTTTGAACAATATTCGATTAGTTAAGTTGCAAAATGTTTGCAATTTTTTCTAGCCGATTTGGTGGAAAACGGTTTGTTAACGCTCACTACAACGTTGCTAAAATACGGAGGTCAGTCCTGAAATAATGTTGGGCAGAAAGACGAGAAACATAACATCACTAACAAATTTGATTTCAATACACATGAAAAATAAATTCAAATATTTCCATCAAAAACATCCGTGTAACGTTATTTTGTGGATGAATTCTATCGTCGTAAAATATGTATACTTTATATATATCTTTAGACCGCAAAGAAGCTTGAAATTTTACCCTTGGAGCTTTCAACTCAAAAATCATTTTTTCGATCACGATACATTTCCTAATAGATCCTCCTATCATCTAGGTTAAGTTAAATACCTTAAAATAGCTTTGGTATTGAGGGATGCAAGTGTACAAGCGCCAAATGACTGAATTCTCATCCAGTAGTTGGAAATTTCCTGAGATGCATCCATGACAAAATCAAATCTTTCTCCTCCGTGAATTACAAGCGACGACACCACATATGGTTCAATCTCTGCGCCATCACTGGCAATAACATTCATTTTGTGTCCATCAATTGTAAGCTAAAATAGGGTAAAATAGTAATTGGTCCAATGTGATCATATATCACATAATAGCTCTTATAACTCTAAATTTGCCCTTGAGTCATGCATGACAATTGCTGCCTGGTCGCGACCCGAAAATTCAAGTAAAATTTTACTACTTTATTTGCAGTGCGTGAACTGGAAATAGTTCATGGCAGGCTTTCAAATTTTTTTTATTTCGTCACTTTAGAAAGTCACCAACCGTGAATTACTGCTTCCCGCACTAAAAATAATTCGATACTTCATTTACAGTTACGCACGAGTTGTCATAAAATTTTAGTTTAACATATACGTGGGTTGGCCAAGTATCCATGTATTATCTGAACAGTGAAAAATAAATATTCTCAAAAGTTACATGACTTCAGTATCTGATTGAAATTTTCCGATTTTTCGCACGCTTGAAATTAGACAAGAAATGGTCATTCTGATGTCGATTCTACCGTTGACAATGAATTTATCACACTACCCTTGGAGTGAGACTTACTGCAGTTACTGTAGGCTCGTTTGTAAGTCAAGACATACAATATTTTGCAAGTTCATTTTTAAAACTTGGCAACGTCGAAGTTTGCATTTGTTACCAGTTACCACCAATATGATACATTCGATTGGGCTTGGCCAGACTCACTCAAATAGTGTAAGTGTATATTGTATTCTTCCTGTTTCAAAACACACAATGGGCACTGCATGAAAGTGGTTCAAGGTAATATTTTGGGGTATATTATGGAATTCACGCAACATCAGTCGCGATCGACTATACTCAAGATACCCAATTCGGAGGTAAAGTATTCAGCCAATACGTAATCATTTCAAAATATAAAAGTTTTATAAATATTGGATAATCCCTTCAAAATACAAAATGAAATATAAAATAAGACATCGAAATAAATCATCATACATACAGGGTGTTAAAAAAGTTATGCAAATTTAAGGTAAAGTTTTTATCATGGCAATCTGAAAAAAAAACTGTTAAAATGAGTCAGTCGTTGAATGTTTTGAGTAGCATTTCATCATAACTTCTGTTAATGTTGCGTTGATAACACCCTGTATAACATGAAAAGTGCTAATAATTCATGCTTATTTGAGTTCTTACTCGACCAATTCAAAAAGTTAAAGGACACGGAGTCATGTGACCGAAGCCATAACTGATCATTCGCTATGCCTTCATAGCATTTACTATAAAACTGTAGTAAATTTGGTAATTTGGAAACATTGATAGCTACCTCATGTGAGCAGAAAATTGCATTGCTTATTATTCTGAATCTATAGCGATTGTCTTTCTCCACCTTGAAAACGTGCATCGGTGTAAAGTGTGTAGAATTGTCAGCTTCATTTTTGAATTCCTACAGATAAATTAAGCATAAACAGTCGTAAATCATTTCCTAAAAATATTTTGAATTTTAACACACATCCAAAATATATGAAAAACTCAAATAATGTTTTGAATTATTTCAAGATTTTTGGATATTACTTCATCGCGATCGTTTGTATGGTTATGTCTAACCTGAAACACCCCTTTCCCGTTGATCAACATATTGTCTCCAAGGTATAATCCTTCATAGTGATTTGCTTCCAAGAATTTTTCTAGTGTCGTTTTATGAAGCCAGTCCGTCAAAAATACAATATGTTCGTCAGAATCTGTTTGTTGGAAAACAATAGAGTGGGCCTACTCAGTCAAAAGAATAAAAAAAATATTCAATTTCGCTGTGTTACAGAACCTGCTAGCTTAGATAATTCGTGGTAGATAGAATTATTAATAATAGGAAAAGTATTTGGCGATGCCGGAACTTACCGATTTCATATAAATCTTTATGTGGGTCTTTTTGCATAGGGCGATCGATGATAAGAGACCCTGCTACTCCATCAGATCTTTGAAAACCAGCGTGTGCATGCCAAAAGTGAGTACCTGAACGATTGTAGTAAGTGTCATAACATCAATTTTCTATATATTTTTACTATCGAATCCTTTTATTCCAGTCTGTAAGAACACGTAATTATAACGCCGACTCTAGAAGATCGCCGCCCAACGTTATGCATAGTCTATTAGCTAGATGGTCAAACATGAGATGTAGCGATATAACCGTAAGTCATCCACTAACGTCAGAAACACACCTCACATATATAAGTATAGCATCGCTTAATGATCCTATGAAAATACCACATATACAAGAAAACAATTGGAAGCTCGTTTAACATGGCAATATCTCTTTATGATCAGTTTATTACGTCATAATCACTACCAAACATCTTTTATATTTTGTTATGCAGGACGAAAATTCAAAATCCCAGATAATACTTGCATTTGAGTCTTGGTTGCTAAACAAATTTAATTCATTATTAATTATGAATACTTTCAGCGGAAGTTTTTAACTGTGGATATCAAAATTCCTGTCTCAATATGAAGGGGGGATTGATATAACAATACTACCTGGAGGATTTGCGACGAATTCGTATGCAAATGACGTTTTCGCTGGAATAGGGCACTGAGTCAACATAGGAACCCCATCCATCCATGGAGTGTCCTTCACGTATATTCCATGCCAATGAATTGTGATTCCTTCGTCGTCTACAAGCTGGTTGTCGACAAACACACGGACAGTATCTTGGTAACATACCTTGACAATGCAATGGGAAATCACGTTTTTATAAATTTAGATATTTTAAAAGTATAATCAATATCGGCAAACAAAAACTCTCTTTTCTATGCTTAAGGGACAAAATCATACATTACAGTAACTAAATTGAAAAGTAAATGATACTGTAGGCTTGCACGTAATTGACAAAAATCAATTCCGTAATTACGGCAAAATCAATTACGTAATGACCCCGTAATTGCGATATTTTTCCATGCATTTAAACCTATCATAACAACCAATTGAATCCACTTCTTTTCCGAATGGGACATTGAAGTTGGGTTTTCATATTCTTGGCAGTACTACACGCCGTCGGCAGATGTTAAAGGCAAATATCAAGGAGTGAATTCAAATTAATTTTATTCTGATTTTTATCTTTTTGTGTTAGCTTTGGTTTTCCTTTATCACCTTCGCAAATTAACCGTCCCATTTTTATGCGATCAATTTTATTTTATTATTACCGACACTGGTATACGGATATTTATGGAAACGATAGTTTTTTAAAACCACCTTAGTGCTGAATAAAAATTACGGGTTTCTAATTTATTAACTAACGACGAGCGTATTCTCTCGTTTGATTATACTTGCGATTTCCTCGCGACGAAGACTTGTTTTTGCAGCGTCTTCTGCATTATCCGATATTACTGCCTTGTTAGCATTTTATAATAATAATTATTGATGTCGACTTATTGACGATATTCCGATTACCATGCTTCATTTTACATTCAATCATTTCGCGGACTGAATGTTTATAACATTATTTGCGATAAATTTAAGATCAAATATTATTTATTTGAGTATAATTTAAATATGGAACTTATATGATATGCCTTCTCCGAAAACACAAAGTTATATCGCAAAACAATGCATTTTGTGACATTTATTTTACACTCACGACATTTATTTGCTAACTCAAGTCGTCGATCCTATCGGCCAAGATTGACACAAGTTTGGTGGAGTGCCGGTGGTATTCAAGTCGACGATAAATCAAATTAAGTTGCCGCATTTGGTAAGACAGTTAATCATATATGGCCGAAATATTGAGAGGAATTGTGAAAAACATCATGAGCAAGGCCAAGTCCGGACTGATATATAACGATAAAACCGTTAACAGAACATCAAGATTTTGTAATAGAAAATGGATCTCGCACAGAATAAACACACTGGCTCATATTTGATTATATATGATCCGTCGTTTTGCTGTTTCTCTGCCGTCTCAATCGCTTTACCGATGCCGAGAAGACGAAGTTGCGTTGGTTCATTACGCAATCTCTCTTTTGTCGTCATATTGCTATTTGATAAGCGCGACATTAATTATCACGGCGAGGTATTGGCGCAAGTGATCAATCGCTCTTTTCGCTTATTCGGTTCCAATTCGTCGCGAAAGCTCTTCGTTAAATTTCACAAGATCGTCGTGCTGAAATGTTATGGATATTTTCCTGTTTATACCCCAAGTCTGAAATAAAACAGCCAAAAACAGTATGATATTCCATGTTCATATATCAAGTGTTCATATCAACAATAAAGAATGGTTAAGCATTGCTAATCCACACTTGGTGGGGAATTCCCACTATTTAAACGCGTGACTATAAAATAGAAACGGAACATATATATTATATACCATAAGTAACGGAAAACTGGAACAAGTAAATAATAAATAAAAGTAAAATGGATACAAATGTTTGATAGACCATGTTTGAAAGATTGATCTCCTGCGTTCATTAGTCATTTCACACGAAGAAGTTGAAACCGGGCGTGTTAACGTCCATCAGTCTTAACACAATTCTTCCCCCTATCTACGGTTATTATGTACATTGGCCATGGCCATGCTAGATAAGAAGCGAGAGAAGTTGAAACCAGGTGTGTTGGCTTCAATAGGTCCAACGCAATTCTATCCCTTATCTACGGTTAAGTTACGGGAGAAGTTAAAACCAGGTGTGTTGGCGTCAAACGGCCCTACTCAGTTCTTCCCCCTTAACTACGTTAATAATTTACATCGGCCATGCCAGAGAAGTTGATAATAGGTTAGTAAATGGCAACGCGTCAGGCCTTCCTTCACCTACGTAACAAGAGAGAGAAAAACGGCTGCGAATACCGGAACTCTCTTCTACTTGTTGAGCTTTCATTTTTCGCAATCGACGAAATTGACTGCTTTGAAAAAAGCTCGTTTCAATGCAATAATTACGACTTTACGTAATTCGTAACTTCCCTTCCGTAACTCCAAATAATTACGTAATTCCGTAAATCCGTAAATTACGTGCAAGCCTATGATAGTTAAAAACATGAACTTGATTCAGGGTGATTTCTGTCTCTTGTGACTGCAAACTTACTTTCATATAGAGAAAATACCTCACCCGTATTGGAGGTCCGGGGAACATTCTATTCACAACTGCAATAGGTCTCGATACCCCATCAGCGGTAACGCAGTGAGGTCTTGTACAATCGGACGCTGTAAAAGGGCAGTTGTAGCACGCTTTTGACATCGTGTAGTACCTGAACGCACAAACACAGGGGAAAGTTAAGTTAGAAATAAAATAATAAACCAAATTATCTTTAATTTCTGATCCTTAGTAAAACATGTACCAGATCATATATAAAAAAGGAAAGTGCCAGAATTGTTGCAAGGTATCTTCAAGTAATTTGAACAAACTTCTTTGGTAAAGTATACAAAGCCATGACGTTGATCGATGGAATTTTAGATGAGGTTAGATTTGGGGCACTATTTAAATCAGGAGTCGGTAAACGACGGCCCGCAGGCCGGATCCGGTCCGCGGAGCAATATAATCTGGCCCGCGACGCTTCACTGAATTATATTAACAAAACAGCTGTATTGACGATTATATGCTTTACGTGACAGAATTTGTTTTGAGACACAAAATATCGTATAACCTAAGAAGTATATAATTCACAATTACTCGTTTAATTAATGAGCCTACCATTGAATATAATTAGACAAATGGCAGCAGAATGTAAAAAAGTTGATGCTTAGTGCAAACGGTTTATTGACGCAAAAATATTCAAATGATCAGTCTTTGCGCACTGCTTGAAATTTACCTGAAATCTGTGTGAAAAAATGTGATTCATTAGCACTTCTTCGGTTTTTAACTTTCTAAAAATATGCGCGGTCCACCAATGATTTGCAACCTTTAATTTTGACCCGTAAACGACAAAAGTTTGCCTATCCTTGATTTAAATGATATGATAGATCGTACTGTATATTAGACTTATGTCAATTTTAAACGAATTTATTATTTTTTGTTGTAACGTGTGAATTTCAAAACTATCAAAAAACAACACTTAAAGAATCTGATTGCGCTGATATTTGCTTGTTTCTAAAAAATAGTTTTTTGCAATCTTGGTCATTCGCGCATCCGCAACTTGAGGGTTAACATGCAACAGGATTAAGCTATAAAAAAGAAGATAGTCGATATAAAAAAGAAGCGAGTTTGAAGGCCTCGGTTCTGACTTTAAACTTCTAGGTAAAAAGCGAGTATATTCCCCTTTTTTTATTGACATGGAATGGAGCAAAATTGTCTCTGTATGTTCATAAATGAAACCTTCCATTTCAAATTTTTATTCTTTGCCTACTCATACACCTTACCACTCAACGGTGAAATTATATTCGCATAATCTCGGCGACGAAGGAAATTCACACTCTCTATTACACGGGTGAGAATCTAAAATTAAAAAAAATAGTTAAATGGGTGAACATATTGAATATAATGAGCAGTGCTCAAATATACAGACACGAAGACCAAAACGAATTCCCCGAAAATGATATCTAGAATGAACCTAGATGAACTGTGTAACACCTATAATAACTGTCCAGTACCGGTACTGTTTTAGCTTTTTCATCTTCTGCATGATGATTCATGATTCAAGGTAAAAAGTGAATTGAAATACCAAATGACCCGAGTTACAAATGTTTTATTAAATCCTTTTTAGTAACGGTAACGTCGTTTACACAGTACCCCATAAAAAGCTTTCAACTTGGATGAGCGCGAGATCCGGTGACATGGGGCCGAAAAACCGCTACAATTCATTTTTCATTTTGTAACGTCACCACACAAAACGTCGAAGTGAAAAACGAATCCCATAAAGCTGACCAGGATTCAATCCGGCTTTAAACCAATTCCGCATGCACTACATCGCCTTTTCCTTGTCGCAACACCAACGCGCTCAAATGACTTTGGCGAAGTCGCACAAGTTCTTGATGTCTATGTAACAGTGGATATACGTTACAATGTATATGTTTCAGACACTTCTAATATCGTTGCGGACCCCCCGTGTCGTCATCACGGACCCCCAGAGGTCCAGGGACCGCAGTTTGGGAAACGCTGCACTACATAGTTGTTGTTGTTGAAATCTGTATAGTGCTGCAATAGGCTTGTTAGATTATCATCGCAGTCTGTGTAAGTTGTATTTTAGGTTGCCACAGACTTTCATGTTATGGGGACGTTAACAAAACTTTACGTTTTTTCGCTCACTCGATTCGACGTGCTTTTCACAAATCTTTCTTTCGCCTCTTGCTCTTGTCGTGTGCGGTCACGCGCAACCTCGAGTCACGACAAAGTTTTGTTAACGTCCCTTGAACGCTCTCTTCTGTCCATAGCTTGCGCATTCTTGCCATGTGAATAAGTCTTTTATATCTCGGTGGTTTCTAATAATCTGTTGGTGCATCCCTTTTTTGCGGCCGAATTCGTGACATTGATAGTTAAATTATTAAAGAATAGTTTTTGTCCACATTGGTGAGTGAACATGAACAGACCTTCAGTCTGATGAATTTCAACAAATCTAAACACAGATCTCAATTGACCAATACTCATCTCAAATCTGTTTTGACAATTGCCACAACCAAATTAAAAACAAGTTTTGATGTTTTAGCTGAAATATTTCTCAAGAATTGTTGAGATTGTGGTTAAACGAGGAACGAAGTTAATTATTTTCCACTGTTGTAACACTGTAGATGAATTCTATTCATATATAAAATGTAACTTTTACGTCACACTTACATGACGCACAAGTGTAGGTGGGCCAAACTTTTGACCCCTGGTTTAAAAACCTTGCACACCCATGCAAAAGAGCAGGGATGGCGCACCACTGACCCGCGGGTCACAAAGTGTCCCACTGCGTTTCATTCGTGACCCGCCAAGGCACGAATAAAATGAAATAAATGCTAGCATATCAGTGATAAAACCGGCCTTAAGTTAATCTAACATTAAATTTTATAATGTACCGTCAGTTGAGCAGTCAGGGCCGCAATCGCTCATATTCAAATTGGTAATTAGTCGCGCCGGTATGGTAATTTTCAAAACACCTAATCCTCTAGCCATGTCTGCACCGCTGTGTACCGTTATTCAGCTATTGACTCTGACATCGTTTATGACATAACAATGCAGCCGATATGTTCATTTTTCGCTACGTCTGGTCTCTTTCCGAAGTGCATCTACACTACAGATGTTTTAGGGGTTATGCGAGAACTAGATGCTACTTTGTATCTTATTAGTTTCTTGCATACGATGCCGTTAAGAGAACAAAATCTTTCAGACTTGAAATAAAAACCTAGAAATTTGAAACAACAATTGGACAGTGTAAAAGTGCCTCAATGTGGTTGAAAGCTGATCAAAAAATATAACACTATTAGAGTGGAATTCCCTTCAAACTTTTTGGAACCGTAAAATAATTTGCCGCATTATTCTAAACGTTTTTGGTAATTCGTATGCGTGTTTTCGTACTCTAAGTTCATAAAATTGAGTGCCATAAAAAGTCCCTGATAGAAGTTATGCATATAAGTAAAGCCCAAACTACGCCAACACCAACAGAAGCTTATAAGAATTGTTTCAGAAGTTTCTCATAGGTACAAACATTGATCAAATATCTGTGATCCACTCTCTTCTGTTCCACGATAAAAATATAATTTTTGTCTCATTCATTGAAGAAGGTTCGCCATCCCTGCCATAGAGCTTACAAAGACTAAAATTTCAAAGCAATTGGTGCAGTAGTTGAATAGAAAAGCGATATTTTCACAATAACAAAACGAACCATAGGTCCACTTCGTATCGGAATATTAATATTATCTATGATTGCATCTGAAGTACAGTAGTCTACTTTTGGGTCTTCATCGGCTATAAAACCGCCCTGGATACATGATGCCACACGAGAACACACTAAGAAACAATACTTACTATGATTTGTAAAATATATAAATGATGAGTTTATTTGATCTTATATCATATATAGTATTGCTAAAATACAAGATGCAAAGTGAAAACTAGCAAGGTACAAGCAGATTGACCTCGATTTGATAGTTTTTTTCCTACGACTTACCACTGCATTCCACATAGGTTTTGGTGATGACGGCCATCGTCAAGATGGAAGCGAGGGCAGTTTTGTACGAATTTTGCATATTTGCTATTTAACTTTTTTTTTATCTATATAGTTTAATTCTAACTGCTTGAATTCAAAACTAAAACAGTTTATGTACAAGAGCCCTAAACTTCTTATTTTCTATTACTATTCGAGATTGCTGAAAAACATCAGCATAACCGCCTCATTAATATTATTCAAAATGAACATTACGATGGATGGATAGTGTGCAAGATTTGTTTTACACACTTTTTAGATAATATCCGTCTTCTTGTACAAGCATTCATAATTCTCAGCAATACTTGTTGTAGATATATATATATTTAAGAAAGATTCAGATCACTATACCCAATGATAAAGAGCTGGGTATAATTAGGTCATTGCAATAATCGAGCCCCGAGTAGCTCTGTTCTCATAATTGACATGTTCTTTGCTCACTCACACTGCTTTTCTTATGAATTCTAATCCATAACACCTTTCAATTTATTATCCAAAAGGAAATCGGGAAGGAATTCTTTAGCCTGCCACCCGTAGAAATGTATTTAATATAAACAAGATAGCGTTGTATTCCATGATCGGATTTTAAATTTTAAGAACAAGTTGTCTTTAGTATCGATCTCACTAACAACAGGATTTCCTTCTTTAGAAAATCATTCCAAACTTACATCTCTAAAATCGGGTTCACTGATAATCACGACATTCCAATAACGCGTTCGGGCGAACCCTCGTGAAACCCATCACTATAAGATTCGGACAATCGTGTCTACTATCGTTTTAAGTTACAAAAGTGACCGCCGATAAAGCGTAAAATACCTATACACAGACATTGCGTGCAACATTTACAGACTAAAAGATCAGTGAGTTGTCTGAAATTTCCACCTTTTAGCAATACAATGAATGGATTTGACAAAATCTGGCATAAGCTTGAAGCTATAGGTTAATTAATGTATTTTGTTGCAAATCTCTCAAATAAGAAAATTTTGTTTATTTGTATAGCGAATAACTGGCTGACATAGTTGGTGCTTGAAGAATACAGTTAAACAAATGATTTAATGAAATTAAATTTCTTCTTTGGGATCAAAAATCGTCTTAAAAAGGTATAGTAAATCGATGCTGCAAATATTATTACTTTTAAAATTTAGGAAAAAAATTGCTATAACATATGACTAGTAAAACGGAAAAAATGGAAGAGTATAAGAATGAATGTTAACGACGACGTCATGCTGGTGGCTGCATTGGATTTTCCTGGCCAAGGACCGCATTTCGGGAAATCATTCGGAGGTTTCACCCATTGTTCTGGATCTCCGACCTTGAATGCCAACTCCATACCTGAGTGTATAGTAAATTATACATGGTATCATTGCACTCAGCAAAATAGTTGAAAGTAAACAATGCTGTTGGTTGTAAATAAATGTTTGACATTGAATAACATACCGCTTACTTATCGACATTTGATTCGATTCGATTTTGAGTTGCAATCCATATGCACACAAGCCCCCTTTTCATTTTGCAAGGTGACGCTATTAATTGAGAAGTGATTACTGCCAACGACATCCTGTTTCAAGGTTGCATTGTAGTAAAGCATGCATTCATTTGGCATTATAACAATAACTTAATTGTAGTTCAAATAGAGTGATGTTTGTCATATCTAAGGGAGACTTACCGATTTCTGAATGAAAAGCAAGATGGCAATGAAAAAACCAGACCCCTGGATTATCGGCCAAAAAGCGAACAACTGTGTAGCCACCATCCGGAATAATAACTGTGTCCTTCATAATACCATCAAAATTGTACTCAATGCTGCCATTGTTATGCAGTTCTTTAATTTCTTCTGTAGAGATGAATGCCCCGATTCTGAGAAGAAAGGGGAAATAGAAAGTCATGGAATCCAGTGTTGATTGTCAAAAACCGGTACATAGCTTGACACGGGGCCTTATGACATCATAGAACTAGTCTAGAATATTACCGATTGCCATGTTAGTACTCTAAAGTTTGACACAATTTTGAAGTACTAGGTGTTGCGGGGCGATACCGAGAAATATAGAACAATATATGGCTTACAACGTTGTTTTGGATGATGCCCTTTACCATTGCTAAAGCAATCATGTCATAAATTTGAATTTATTCAATGAAAGAAAAGGATAAAAAAAAATCAATTCCAAATTGTTTCTATAACCATCCTTACCAAATTACGATAGAATACCTAGTTGCACACGAACACCGAAAACATGTTACTCACTTTTTCATTGCCATAACTGCAAAATGCTGACCATGCAAATGCATAGGATGACCTGCATCAAATGTTCGCCCTTCATCATAAATTACCAATTCTACGAGGTTACCGACTTTTACATCAATCACATAAGTGCACATACAAAAGTCATCCTGGCAAAATTCAGAACGACTCTGGTTCCACCTAGCGGCTTCTGGGTCGCAATTTTGGGTGCTGTCGATTTGCTCGTACTGTGTCAACATTGGATGTTTCGGAAAGGCAAAGCTGATATTGTTGAGTTGGGGAGTGTACAAATGGCTGTTGCGCGGCATGTCTTCAATCGGATACCAGTCAGGATGATTGAAAGTCGGATTATTGACTTTATAGAAATCGAATCCAATAAAGTGTGTTTGATCGGGCTTTTCTGTGAAAAATGTATTAAATTAGATAACAGTAAACCAATTTAGGCGGATATTAGCATGGTATTTACTGATGTATAATGTTCAAAAAGAAATTGGGAACAGAGAGGAAATGTGTAAATATGACGTCATCACGTTGCGTGCAATCAATCCAACTTTATTGTTATTAATGTGGCGCGGGGTGGTGAAGTTGTAGCAAATAAAATTGGTATTTGCCGTGGTTGCTGGCTAATTGTTGTTTTTCTGATCTGATGAAGACATATTCAGGGTTTTAAATACATGTATTGCAATTATATACGTTTACAAATACAAAGAACAGTTCCAAAGCATGGCTGATTCAGACAAAATCCAAATTTCACTGCAAGCACGCCGAGTTGCTAATTGTTATCGTTGATCATCGTTTTAGCCGCCCCATGTTCTAGTTTCCTTTTTTCTCGACTAACGGATGGTCGTCTGTAAGCTGGTTTTGGTATCCTGAGGACATGACGCTGTAATGTCATTGCAGCCTACAGGATCTAATTGTCGTGTTTTTATCACTATGGCTTGTTTCTAATTTTAATATTTACGTAAGATTAGAATGATTTGAAGTTGAAACACGTACTACTATTAACCAAAAGGAGCTAAATTACCCAATATCCTATAAACTGATGCATAGGAAACATAATGTAGAATTGTATTTTGTCATTTTAGTCTCAGCTACATCACTGCCAAATATGAATGATTTTAATGTTTTTAAGATCCATGATGCTCTGTATTTCTTGTCTTAAAACAAAACATCTATAGTTCACACTTAGGCAACAATTTTACAGAATGGCTTAATTTAGAGTGGTCCAAGATTGCGAGGTTGGGGGGCCGCAAAAAATTTTGAGGATGTCTCGCGGGGCGCAGTCGGAGAGAACCCTAAAGTGATTCAAACATCGCAAGTTCACTCACTTTACATATATTTTGAATATATATATCACCGTTGTAATCTTTTTTTTAAAAAAGATATATAAAGCCTTTAGTTATTTTAAAATTGCTTCCCGAGAAATACTGTGATATTTTCGGAATCTTTTCTCGTGTTTGGTTTTGTTATGTTGCTTCAAATTATATTCTTTCTGATAGATATTAGTTGAAAACACACCAGGCAATGTGGTTTAACGTTGTTATGGGTTAGGAAATACGTTTCCTCACAGTTTACCTTGGCCACCTTTTTTACACTCATAATATGAGGAATTGATATATTTGACTAATTTTATTAGAGTACATGTAGCGCGAGCAGGCCTGTTGCTATCGTCAAAGAACAACTATGGCCGTCTAAGTTGGGACTCCCTAACGAAAAACTGGATTGCGTGGCGCTAAGTCAGCTCTGCGTCACTCTGTTCGTCACTGCTGTCACGTGGCGAACGCTTGAACATAGAGAAGTATTTTTACTAAAATAGGCTTGGTGATGTCTGCACAAGACAATCAATTCTCTTTGTATCAATCAAAGAACGTCATTTCCATATTGGCACCGTCTTGACGTTCATAAACTAAACAAAATAAACTAACCCAAGATATACTATTTTGTAACAGGCAAATATGCATAAATTTTGCATACTTTCTCTTTGAAGGAAATCATATATAAACATATGGTATTTTAATTAGAAGACGACTTGAACGAAAGCTTTAAAAGCGTACCTGCGTATCGTTCGCTTGCAGGATATGCATCAGAATGTTCTCGTTGAAGCGAAGATACTTGAGTATAACTTTCGTTTTCTGCGATATTCCAAGGATTAAGTTGTAATTTACTACTGGTTATGAGATCTGATGACGTCACCGGGTCCTCGGTACCTGCACCTTGGTACCTGTTAGTATAAATTAATGTAGGTTTCATGTGTGTTAGCACATAAGACGTCGTTTGAGATATTTTAGGTATAACAATGTGTGGTATTCAGGGCTCTGCTCTTTTAGAACCCAATCACAAAACCTTCCAATGTAAAATTGCTACAGAATAATCCTGACTGAATAAGTTTATTAAAATTGTCCCTTGAGATCTCTTCATTAAAATGCAATCATGACCACGATTCATCGATATCAAATCGTTATTAGTGGTATTTAACGATCTTTTTTATCACAATCTGCAGTTCACCTCAGGATTGCCCTTTGAGACTGGTTCCGGCAATCAGCCATTCCTTGAATTCGTATCCAGTAGTTTGAAATATCTTGAGAAGCGTTGACAACAAAGTCAAATCGTTCTCCGCCATGAACAACCAAAGATGTGACTAAGTAGGGTTTAATGTCAGCTCCATCTGATGCAATAATGTTGAGTTCATGCCCATCAATTGTAATCTGTAATAATTTGGCGAAATTTCGAAATCGAATATCAAATTAAATCAAAATTTGAGTCGATCGAAGTTCCGCTTGGGTATATTTACTATATATATTAAATTATTTCCGAAACAAAATGATATTTACAAAATTGTAACTTTTAAAACGTCAATCTCACCTCGTATGGACAGAACAATACCGCATTGCTTATTGTTCTAAATCTGTATCGCTTATTTCTTTCCACAATGAAAACTTCTCTCGGTGTAAAGTGCGTAGAATTGTCGGTTGAATTATAAAATTCCTTGCAAAACAAAGGTGTAAACACATGGAAAATGTAGGCTACTTCCATTAATCAAACCAGTTTGAAATATTCAAATCAATATTGGCTAGTATATCTAAGATTGAAAAATACAAAGTTTCCTATTACACTAAAATATATTCAGTGTACTATATACTACAAATGGTTTTGTGTCTTGTGTAGTGAGCAATTGTTACCGCGGCTTTGGATAAATAAACAAACTAAAATTACTCCAATACGTTCCTGACATGTTGACGCTATTGAGAATATTGTTGACGACCAATTTTCTCACTGACATATTTTTTAAAAAAAAAAACCTTAATAAAACCTTACTTTGAATACACCTTTTCCATTTATCAAAATATTCTCTCCTTTGTTACTTCCAGACGAATGGTGATGCGCAAGAAATTTTGTTAAACTTGGTTGATGGAGCCAATCGAACACAAAAATGACATATTCTTCTGAATCTATTCATATAACATTAACATGGAATTAGGAAATATCCTTCTGTATTTGTTATCCAAGAACTAATGAATACGATGTTGATAATAAAATAAATGTGCATCGCAGGTGATTATTGACATTATAACAATTTGCGGTAATGATGCCAGTCAATATTTCGACGAGGTTACTCTGCAGTGTAACGTGGCCTCTTTCTGAAACGGCTCTTGAGACATATATTTGAACTCTACCCAACCTAGAAAAACGGCTCTGAATATAAAACTAATCGTTCATAACTCTGAATTGACTTTACCAGTAGGTCGAGAAGATGAAAATGAATAGCTATAATGAAAATAACTTTTGTAATACTCGAGAAATTGGAGTGGCTTTATTTCGTCAGGACTGTGATAGCATGTGCTGCTTTGCAATATTTTGAATGCCTAGGTGGTGTGCTGCGTTTAATAGTCCAAATTCAAGTTTATCTAACACTTGGTATTTTAGTGATTGCCCAATGATAGCTGCCATATTTTTAAGCGTTTTTCAGTAACGCTGAAGAAAATCATGAAATTGCATAGACTGGTAAACACGATTACGTGACATATTGATTTGTATACAACATACGAACCAACGTCATACAAATCGTAATGTGGATCATCTTGTTTGGGCCGATTGACAATGAGAGGACCCGCCAATCCATCAGATCTTTGTAATCCAGCATGCGAATGCCACCAGTGCGTTCCTAGAAACAATTGAGATATCATTATAAACATTACAATGGTGCTGAGATTCATTATATACAAACTATAGCTTACGCCATTTGCAACGTTTGGCAAATGTGTTTAACTGATCGGGTATTAGAAAATGACCAGACATATCGGCAAACTAAACGGTTTTTATTTTTTAGGTATTATTGATTGTTTGTTCAAATTTCCGATATTTTCCATTAATTATGTGACTATATAATACCTGGAGGATCGGCACGAAATTCGTAGGTAAATGATGTTTTGGCAGGAATCGAACATTGGGTTAGCATAGGTACCCCGTCCATGTGTGGGGAGTCTCTCATGTAAAGACCATGCCAGTGTATTGTAATGCCTTCATTGTCACCAAGGTCGTTCACGACTTCGACACGAACAATGTCATTGTGACAAACCTTTAACATATGCAAAATTCTTCTACAGTTTAGCATTTATTTGCGACAACTGTTTTTGTCTAGGACTACCGCTATCTTACACAGGTTTGAGGGGGCACAAAAAGGTTTTGAGAAATATCCATTATTGTACTATTTTACAACAAAAAATTAAAAATCTAAGCTTTAAAATCAGTGCAATGCAACCTTTCGGCAAAATAATCCGAAAGAAACTTTGTGGATCTAGGGACCACATTCTATTCAGTCATAATAAAATATAATGCGTGGCCCATTCAAGCCAAATTTTTTTGCCATCCCAAGCCGGTTATCCACTTAGCAACTTGTCTGTGTAGTAAGTAACGACATGAGCACAGCAGATGTTGTAATTGTTTTGGTGATTTGACATGGCTGACAATTGCATTTTTGGACTAATATTCGAGAGACCAAGTTTAAAAAAAAAACTATACTTATGCTAGATGGCGGGAGATATTATTGATATTTTTTACCCGAACAGATGGTCCCGGAAAAGTTCTGTTGACTGTTATAACAGGCCGAGATATCCCATCAGCTGCGACGCAGTGTGGCCTCAAGCAATCTGAAGCAACGAAGGGGCAGTCGTAACATGCCTTTGACATTGTGTAATACCTGAAAGGCAAAATAATGTGCTACAATTTATAGTTCGTTTATTACTTAATAACTTTCAAATTTGTAAGCGAAGTGTATATGATGGAAAAAGTGATACGTGATACGAAATCCTTTTTACGTGTAATCGATTAAGTATGTTAAAAATGAGTAAATTGGCATCATTCCGATTCGGTTCGTATTACGAGGCAAACTCATCAGTTGCATAATTAAATGTGAATTACCGATTCGTATTACAAGGCAAACTCATTAGTTGTATAATTAGATGGGAATTTCAGTATATAAAAACAATTAAGCCTTTCACAAGAGATATATCCTTAGGTATAGCGCAGATTTACACAAGATAGGCCTACGCTTTAAATTTCAGTTGTGTACTATTTATATAAGTTTAAATGACTAAAACAACAAAAATGAAAGTGAAGTGTTTGCCGAGTCAACATACTGTTTTATTTACGTGTCACAATATTTAAAAAGACCATTGATAAGCAATTGCTGACACGTCTTTGAGGAGCGATTGCATTTACAATACAAATATTCTGCAACAAGTGGTCAATTCACACCCTAATACTTGCACCAACGAACCGAGTAACACACACAATATTCTTAAAAAAAGAATTGCATTGCAAATATTTTATATAAGATTACAGTCCAATTAAAAATTGACCTTTATGTAAAACTGTATGTTCTTTGAATTAATAGATACCAATTTCACAACAATAAACACAACTTAGTATAATAGTAACAAAATAGTTTATTTTGTTACCATTCTACGTTAAATCGGTAGTTGCATTCCATTGGAGAAGTCGGTGATTCGCACGGCCTGTCACATGGATGCCGATCTGAATGAAGCAAAAGATATTTCAAAATTGTACATACAAATTGTATTATTGTGAAATGAAAAAACCTAAAATTGAATGCTAGATTTAATCGAATTCATGAATGTGATGTTGAAATCTTGCAATCAAAAAATGTGACTTGATTTTAATTGAATTAGCATGATATCAAATACGAATTATCACTTCCGCCCAAAACATCTCGAGGGAGACATCTCTTCATACCATTACAAGAAATTGTTGTTCAGAGAAATTAATTTGATTGTGAATCACGAAACTTATCTTATATGAGTTTTTTGGTACTCCCGAAGTATGTGAACCAAAATGGCGGACACCGGAACGTAGTATGTGTACCAGGTTAGGGTTAGGCCATAATTTCATTCCAATTTTCCTTATTTTAGTTCAATTACGAGTTCGGAGACTAGCCAAGTAGTAATTGTACCTAACATTATTGCCTAACTCTAGCCTGGTACACATACTACGTTCCGTTGTCCGCCATCTTTGTTCACATACTTCGGGAGTACCGTTTTTTTACATTTGAAGACTCCCTGGTCTATAATTTTGATCAGAATATATCTATAAAATAAACCTAATCGTACCAGATATAGTGTTTGAAAATCTCGTTACGGCTGATCTTAAGGTGATAAATCATTGAACTAAACCTATGGATAGTTTTGTATCACTAAGTTAATAGTTTTGCAGTGATTTTTTCGGAGAGAATACACAATGAAAAAAAAAATACTATTAGATCATCATGATTAGGCCAAATGGGTCGAAATATTTTTGAAAAATCAGTCTTTTTATGATAAATTCGATAAGCAGTAAAGTTGACTTACCTGCATAAACAGTCAATATTATTAAAAGATTTGTCGCCAGAATGATTATTTGGAAGCGTTCCATTTTCTTCAGCCTTCCACTTAACTGGATATGACTTAACATATGGTGGCTAATATCTGACTGAAAATAACCAAACAGGATTTATTTTATCTATGTATATTAATCGTTATAGTCTTATCTTTTTCCTTAATAATAAACACTTCCGTGATTAAATGCACGTTGACAACTGGTCGATTCGTGCTTAGCGCATTAACGAAGCTTGTTTCGACGCTTTATGATTTTCGTCTATTTAACTTCTTCATACATCGTATTTTGGAGAGCTTTGTCGTAGTTACAAGCAAATAGTGATCTATTATTTCCTAAATATTCCGAATATTGACATAGGAGTTGCAGTTATGCGAGTGCTAGTTTTTGACAGTCTTAGTCTCTAAAGGAAAAGACAGTGAAATGTCAACAACCACATTCCTAAGATAACGCAAGCCTAGAAGGAACAATTACTCATGGGAGTGACGAATCGCTAAAATCGCCTTTCTACACAATCTCTAATACAAGATATTGCTCAAATTTTATTGTTTAATTACCTTTAATTTACCGTGCTACATAAAATTGAAAGCCTGTGTTTCTAACTCGTTTATGTCTTGATACACGTGACGAGATGGAATGCCATCTCATTTACACAGATTATAAATAGCATCTAAATCACGACACAATTCGATGATATCCATACAACCGATATTTTTTTGCGACTAAAAAACTCAACTTTTTACGATTGACTTCTAAATAACTAGAGTTTTCCTTTTCCTGTGATCTGAGGCCCATCTGACTAAGTCGCCCGTAATCACGAGCAACGCTCTTTCTTCAATAAAATACTTCAAATGTTTTCCTATGATGTTCTCATCGAGCAAAAAGGGATAAAAAATATACGGAAAACCAGAGTAACGCTGCACAGGCGGAAGCGTTAACAGGGCATGTCTTTATCGGAAGCGAAACATGCGTCTAATCCTTGCACAGATAAATAATCGCCATCCGCGTGGGAATATGGCCTAATATGGAATCTTATATAATCTTCAATTCTTCATCAGGTCAAATGACAAATATACTTTTGGCTTAGCCGACCTTGAATAGCAGGCTCCTCAAATATTAGGAAGATTAGTTTACAATGAAATAATCTAATTTCCTCAGACAAAAAATAATTCGGTTTTCAGAAATTATCTGAATAAATCATAGCTATTTCCATATTTTCGTTTGTGCATATAAATTCAAACACCCATGTTACTCGGAAATGCGAATATTTCGAATGTTCTCAAAACTATTGTTTTCAATGTATGATAATAATGGCTTAATGCACAAAAGTTTATAAAGACCCAAACGTAACATATCTGCAAAGGAACGAGGAATTGATAACATCAATTGACCAGGAGATTGTGCAATAAACTAGTCAATACTACAAATGACTATTTCCGGTTTCAAAATGATCAGGGTTGCGATTTCTGAGTTTTTAAGAACGTGTTATTTCTGCCTGAAAATTATTTTAACATCAACATTCAATTTAGAAATGATTTCATCCTAAAAAATTCAACTGCTCAAGTCCATGTCGAACATAAATTCGCGTTGCACGCGCTCTCTCATCACATAACATGCATTATTTGGACACGAAATGCACATATGAATCGTTTTGGCAAAATATTTTTATGGTTGCTATTGGGGTTGTTGTTGTAGTCATGAAAAACGTTTTTCTCCGCAACTAATCTCGATTTTAAATTTGCATTACCTAAAGATGAAAAAATGTTTATGTTTTTTTTGCAAATATTCTCTGGGTCCTTTTAAGCCCACTACTTCAACCCAAAATTTGTTGGTTTGTGTAGGTCATTTTTAGGTATGCATGATAGTCTATTACGCCGGGTATGATTTTTGACAAGAAACAAATACCTGAGAGAAAACGAGTGGAAAGTTCGCTATTAAATTTCCAGAAGATGATTTACGTAGCATTTGGAGTCTGTCGTTTTTTCTATCGTTATTCAAGCTACACTTGATGGGCTATTAAAATGTGCAATTTAAAACTAAAATCTCATTTTCAGTTCCATCAATTATAATTCAAAATTGCCTTTCCAAAACTTATCATCCACTTCAAAACATTTTTAATCATCATGTCGGTTGAAACGGAATCAGGAACATTTTTCCATCGAGACAACTCGACACTAATAAGTTAATTACAGGTAACACGTTTATGAGAAATTACTTTTAATAATTTTATTTACTAAAAACCGAAAATTCCAAGAACGTGAAATATGGCGTGGAATCTTTTTTGTCTTGTTCATTTATTATATTAATATACGTAGTTGAAACCTATATATTCTTCTATACTTTCAATGTTAATCAGAATAAGAATTGATCTAAGAGTGTATACATTGTATTCTGTATATATATATTGTCGGAATTGCGATAAGGTGTTTTAATCGTCTATTCTATGCTGCTGGTGGCTATCGTCTGGTTAATGTGTAGTGAGATCTAATCCCTACAAACATACAACAACCGTCTTATCTAAACAAGCTTTATTGTGAGAATTGCAGAATAAAATTGAAGTACCCAAAATTATCGACTTATACGCAAATGACTTACTGTTTTAAACTATCGAGTTTTTCTTTGTGGAATCCGGTGGATAACAATGTTTACACATGAGGTAATCCTCGATGATCGTTGAGATGAACCTTTTATAGGCGTCTGTATAATGTCTTTAACAGCGAGCATATTTTCTACATATAGTTCTACCAAGACTTGCAAGCATCCCTGAAATAACAGCCTAATAAACGCAATTGGGATAAACATTACTATCATGTATATTAATCAGCCAAGTATATGGTAATCATCCAAGTAAAACGCCAAGTATATGGACGTTGACAGAACAGAAAAGCAAAACGAGCCTTATATTCTCTACATCCGTCTAAAGTAATTTGTTCGTAAGGTTGTCGAATACCTCAGTTGGTACTAGGCTGGCAGTGAGTCATCATCCATTTATTTTTTACCCTCTGATCTACACGAAAAATTTCTACGACGAATGTTTTTCTGAGAACTTAAGGTACATGTAAAGCTGTTTTCCTGATTGTACTGACATGAATTGCTTCAAGGCTTGCGTCAATCGTCATTTATTGGTGCGCAATACGAATTCAGTAATGCCAACATAGACAAAGGCAAGATGAAGAAAAGAATATTTGTTCGAAAACATGACGTATCATAAAAATATAAAAGTTTGTTTTGTCTGTGTATTACCCAAAATGAGCTTCCATTCAAATGAAAGTAATTTGTTTACAAGAAAGTGACTATCGTATTGAGTTGATGAGTTACAAACATCATTTTGTCATGTTTTGTCACGTTGTTTCAACTTTTCAATGACAACACCCGTGCTTTGCAAAATAGCATAGACGGGACGAGGGCACGCAACAAGAGAATAAATAAACGGATCTCAAGACATTCAAATAGAATGGTAACTACGTTCTTTTTATAACAAGCTGTAGAAAGTCTACTCAAATACTTTAAACAGTCGAACTTGAAATGTCAACATTTCAATGGTACCTTATCTTCATTATACCCTCATAGACGTGTATGAGAGTATAATGAAGATAAGGTACCATTGAAATGTTGACATTTCTAGTTCGACTGTTTATAAAAATAAAAATGTGCTATTAAAATGTGCAATTTAAAACTTAAATCTCATTTTCTGTTCCATCAATTTTAATTCAAAATTGCCTTTTCAAAACTTATTATCCACTTCAAAACATTTTTAATTATCATGTCGGTTAAAACGGAATTAGAAACATTTTTCCATCGAGACAACTCGACACTAATAAGTTAATTACAGGTAACACGTTTTTGAGAAATTACTTTTAATAATGTTTAATTACTAAAAACCGAAAATTCCAAGAACGTGAAATATGACGTGGAATCTTTTTTGTCTTGTTCATTTATTATATTAATATACGTAGATGAAACCTATATATTCTTCTATACTTTCAATGTTAATCAGAATAAGAATTGATCTAAGGGTGTATACATTGTATTCTGTATATATATATTGTCGGAATTGCGATAAGGTGTTTTAATCGTCTATTCTATGCTGCTGGTGGCTATCGTCTGGTTAATGTGTAGTGAGATCTAATCCCTACAAACATACAACAACCGTCTTATCTAAACAAGCTTTATTGTGAGAATTGCAGAATAAAATTGAAGTACCCAAAATTATCGACTTATACGCAAATGACTTACTGTTTTAAACTATCGAGTTTTTCTTTGTGGAATCCGGTGGGTAACAATGTTTACACATGAGGTAATCCTCGATGATCGTTGAGATGAACCTTTTATAGGCGTCTGTATAATGTCTTTAACAGCGAGCATATTTTCTACATATAGTTCTACCAAGACTTGCAAGCATCCCTGAAATAACAGCCTAATAAACACAATTGGGATAAACATTACTATCATGTATATTAATCAGCCAAGTATATGGTAATCATCCAAGTAAAACGCCAAGTATATGGACGTTGACAGATCAGAAAAGCAAAACGAGCCTTATATTCTCTACATCCGTCTAAAGTAATTTGTTCGTGAGGTTGTCGAATACCTCAGTTGGTTCTAGGCTGGCAGTGAGTCATCATCCATTTATTTTTTACCCTTTGATCTACACGAAAAATTTCCACGACGAATGTTTTTCTGAGAACTTCAGGTGCATGTAAAGCTGTTTTCCTGATTATACTGACATGAATTGCTTCAAGGCTTGCGTCAATCGTCATTTATTGGTGCGCAATACGAATTCAGTTATGCCAACATAGACAAAGTCAGGATGAAGAAAAAGAATATCTGTTCGAAAACATAACGTATCATAAAAATATAAAAGTTTGTTTTGTCTGTGTATTAGCCAAAATGAGCTTCCATTCAAATGAATGTAATTTGTTTACAAGTGACTATCGTGTTGAGTTGATGAGTTACAAACCTCATCTTGTCATGTATTGTCACGTTGTTTCAACTTTTCAATGACTGCACCCGTGCCTTGCAAAATAGCATAGACGCGACGAGGGCACGCAACAAGAGAATAAATAAACGGATCTCAAGACATTCAAATAGAATGGTAACTACGTTCTTTTTATAACAAGCTGTGGAAAGTCTACTCAAATACTTCAAACAGTCGAACTTGAAATGTCAACATTTCAATGGTACCTTATCTTCATTATATTATCATAGACGTGTATGCACATCGTTGATCTTCGCGTTTGTGCATTCACAAAGATGACTAAATATATTGAAATGGGGACAATATGTCTAGACAAGGCAAACAAAACTTGAAGTTAATGTTTCGAACGTGATTGAAAAGGGGGAAAAAGAATCTGTAACATTTCACCTATTACTGCAAACATTTACAGATAACCACAAGGGAATTACAAAACAAACCAACTAACGATTGATAAGGCTCCTATGCAAATAAACATTCCGAAACAACGATGTTGCCATTGTTACAATATATTTCTCCATTCTCTGGAGTTGAAAATTGGATCACATCCTGTTTTTTGTTAGTGCGAAAGGATAAACAGAAAAAAAGTATTTCAATAACAATTTTCAAATATAATTCCCGTCACTACCATGATTCCTTTAAAATACTTTTCATCTCAGGTAACTCAAATTTGACTTTTCAAATTTATATGATTGATGCCGCTTTGATGTGGATCAGTTTAAAATTAACGACAAAACTTAACGTATAATAAACAAATACTCAAGCTACTAATTGTTGAACTTGCTTAACAACAACTGGAAACTGGATCAATACATATTCATACCGAACTGCATACATGAGAGTAACGATAGATTGGAGCTTGAATTCCATTACGGCATAAGAAGTGTATTTTTTTTACTATTGATCTACTTGGAACGCATCATTTAAATATTATATATTATTGCAGCATGGCTATGCTTGCCACAATTTAATTGGTCATAGCGTATATATGTTCGATCTCATTTCATTATGTGAAGAACATAATATTATCATTGACCCTCATATAGGAATTCAATGAAAATGAGTTCTGTTCAACTATCTTCACGTTCGAATCACGGAGTGAGACATCGATGCAACAAAATGAGTAATAACTTCTCCGTATTCTATGCTTTTGCGCCGGTGGATCCGATGCATATATTGCAAGGATGCTGTAGCAAGAGTAAAAATAACTATCAAATTGATACGCGAACTGAAGTATTGCACCAAAATCAGTATGGTTCACATTTTTTGCTGAAATAACCATATTCTATCAAAGACTCTACTATCATCCGTGAGTGTCGCATACCATATAGGCACCGCACATTTACCTTTCATACTTCGCCCATTCATATTATATGGTCTCACCACTCTAAGGGGGTGTATTTACGCCTAAAGTGTGATTTCATCGTTATGTATATGTGTACTTGGTGTTGTGTTGTCTCTATTTATATATATTGTCTCGTCTATTGCCTATATTAAACTGCCTAAAACTTTTAAACATTACTTCATGTGGTTAAAACGGAAAAGAAAAGTGGCAGGAAACGGAAGGGTATTTAATTCTAAATGGGAGATAGATTACTTCATGATCGAGACAGCAGCACATACCATGATGTGTCTTATATGAAGTCGACTTTGGATTTTTTCAAAATTGTGCAACCATTATGCAACTTGCGGCAATATGTCTGCTCAAGAATAGATCCACCGAAAAAAAAAGTCCGTCTAAAATGCGAATATTATATCTCCAAGTAGTCCTACATACTTCATAATTGGGCAGACTGCACTTCGCATGGGTCAAATACGCGGTTATGACGTGATTAAAGGCAAAAAATTCGCAAGCCTTCGGCGCGGTCATCAACTCCCAATAGCAATAAGGTTGTGCACCCCTGAAATAGAGCTATTAACATATTTTTGTATCACATATTATTCAATGCTTCTTGAAATATTTATCATGTAGGTAATGAAGTACTTGGTCTTAGATGTCAAATTCAGAGCATTATCAATATCTCGATAAGCATTAAATATTCCTGATATATTTCATACATGTGGGATAAATATAATTGCATGTAACGTAATACGTAGTCTTACGTTCATCCCACTGTGTTGCGCTTTTGCGTTGCGCGTTTGTCGTGTTGCGACATGTTTTTAATTGCTTGTCCATTTTTAAGTTGTGTCTGTTGCATTGTGCACACTATCTTTTCTGTTATCAGACCTTGATGTCTGAATATTGCATCTGAGTCCTAAATACAAAAGTGCACCGTGAATATTTCTTGACTGCTTATCATGTGAACCTGTGGACTGGGGCAACAGAATAGCCGGGTATTGCCAACATTCAAATGTCGATTAAGCGAGGAAATAGACGGTCTTTTCTTTACAGTATATTACCGTCGAACGCGATCGCCTAAAAACCCTTTTTGCTTATTTTTGGTCAATGCAAAGTTTGCTCCATGCCTGATAAGTATCACTACACTCCAAGACCAACAATACCACCTGTACATACTACTACATCGTTTTGTTTGGACACTTAAACCGTTTACATTACTATTGCTCTATAATTTGATATACTTCAAAACTGAAAAAAAATCACATTATTTTTTTGGTGTTATGAAAATATAGAGTGGAGAAATCCGTTTCTGTTGAAAATTTAAATATGAAACTTTCAATACAACATGGTTGTTCAACTACAAACTTTTAGCCTTCTCTTCATATAGTGCAGGGGTCGGCAACCTACGGCCCGCGGGCCGGATCCGGCCCGCGGAGCAATATAATCCGGCCCGCGACGCTTCACTGAATTATAGTAACAAATTATAGCTGTTTTGTCGATAAAATTCTTTACGCGAAAGAATTTACGTGTAGACTAAATCATATTTATAACGTAATAAGTATATAATTACTTGTTTAATAAGCCTATAATTTAATTATAATTTAGACAAATGACAACAAAACGCAGTTGATGCTAAGTGCAAATGGTTTGATGGCGCAAAAAATATTTAAATGGTCAGTCTTCGCGCGCTGCTTAAAATTTAACTTCTGATCTGTGTGATAAAATGTGATTCATTGGTCATCCATTCGATTTTTAACATTCTAAAAATATATGCGGCCCTCCAATGACTTGCAACCTTTAATTTTGGCCCGCGAGCGACAAAAGGTTGCCGACCCTGAATTATGGTGGAAATGTGTGAGATCAGGTTAAAAGATAGTGCAAGGGTTTGTAATATTTATAATCCAGGGCATACTCCATTCACGCTCCGTCTACAACTTTCGGGTAGTGGGGATTTTTTCATGGAGAATGATTTAGCCTACCATAGCAGTCCAAGAATTCAATTTACCATTCCTAAGCTGTGGGGATATGTCGGTCAGGATCAGATTTTCCAAACTCGACTCGAACTTCCGGAGTCTTAGCAATGGGGGATACTCATGTCAATTTGGGTTCCAAACCAACCATTCAACGTTTCAGTCATTATAAATTTGACAAATGTTTGTTTGTTGTACTGTTCTAGATTTAGTGAAGGCAAGAGTTAAGCTAAGACACCACTGTACTCTGCAAGCAATGTACTACGTAATTATCTGGTCTATTGATATCAATTCCACGAAGTGTCCAGCCGTCCAATGTTGGCTGTTTACTGCGAAGTTGTTCAGGGATCTGAACTGGGATCTTTGAGTTTCTTAATTTTTATAAAAGATTTGTCGAACTGTACAAATTGTGTAAAAAGACGTGAACCCTGAAATAAATAAAGGATGTTATGCAACAAAGTTGTGTTTATTGTTGAAAAATACACAGTGCTAGAAATTATATGACAACCTAAAGATAGAGGTTTCTAAGGTTATGCATCAATTTCAAAACAATCGTTTTCTGCAACTATTGGCAATCATTTTGTTTCTATTAGTTCAGTGAACGAGCGAAACACTCGCTCTTTGACAAAGTCAAATTGCTTTGTACCTCGTTTCTCACTACATAAATCCCGAAATTGATTGAAATATAAACGTCTTGTAAGTTGTAATAATAATTAGTGAAGATAACGTGACTTTATCTATACCCCTTTCAGTGTAAAATATAAAACGCTCACGATTTTCTTTTATCGGTTTACATTATGTGGTCTTGTTTGTTTTTGCCAGGATATTGCTCAACCTATCATATTCCTTGATAACTGGATATCTCTACAATGACTAGAATAAAGGTTTTGTGTATGTTTTGTGGTTTTCGAAATAGTTTTTCGCTGGTAATGTCAATAGATTATGCCTTTGGTATATGTTATAATGTAAATTGCACCCATATCTCATTGAGTGCAATAAAGCTTATTCATGAAGCCAAACTAAAAGTCTTAGGCCCTATTTGTGTCGTACAAAACAAGATCTTGATCATTGATTTGATATTATTGGACACGTAGTGGACATAACGATCGTTTCAATATTATGTTGTTGTTGTGGTTGTTCTTTGACACGTTTTTAAAAAGTCGCTTTTCTCTTCGAATACTGGACCAATTGCTTCGAAATTTTCAGTGGTTAAAGATAAAAATTTTCTCCAGAAGGCTATTACTTTTTTTTCGCTATGACGTCATCAAAATTATGTGACTCTACGTGTCCATATATTTGAGCATAGCTCTCTTGTTCTCTTGATATCTGTTTCGTATTTCAGGAATCAGTTACAACTTTAGTATTCTATCTAACTTTTATTATATAGACATGAAAATATTATCATGTCTAAACATCATTGTTAATTGCTGATACACATTATCTTTTTGATTTACTTAGTTTTATTTAATTGAACTGGCGTTTTCTGTGTTTTAATGAGTTGGTTAATTTAGTTTGGTAATTTATGTTAGATTGATCTTGCTGACTAATTTTTGCTTACTGTTCAGCTAGCACAGAATCACCATTTATCTGTTGTGTAAAGTCATCTCTAATTCTTTTGGTGATTTTTATTGACGCATGTTCAATTTTTGCTAGAAATTTATTGTTCGATTCGTGTTTTACCTTTTTATTCATTACTGTTAGGCTTTTTTGCGGGTGATGCTTATGATTATCACTTTTGTTTTCTCTGCATTCAAATGTAAATTCTTTTTTTATTTTTCATTTTGTTTGTACAAAGTGTATTTTTAGTCTAATAAAACTACTTATTACTGAGCACAAACACGTAAGAAATCTGATCAGTTCTATGAAGGCCTAAAAAAGTTCACTGCTCTTCAAAATTCGAAGACAAAATATTTGATCAATTTTTGCCATGTTTAAAATATATCTGTGAACACTTGAACATACTAAACATTAAAGTACAACGTCAACTAGCGGACACGTTTGGCAGTTTCGAAAGAAAATTGTAGTTCTTGAAGTTTCTTTGCAAAGGAACAGGGCTACACCCATTTTTCATCTTTCAGTATCGAGAGTAAAAATCAAAATTGTTTTGTGAAGAGAAGAGTATCGATTGAACTTTGTTAGGAAATTAGTGACATCGTCGATAGGTTTAACATTCCATTTTCTAATTTAGATTTTTAGGGTACCAAAAGTACATATTTTCAACAATGGATCAAAATGGAATTTGGCATAGAATAGACTCTAGGGATGTCTATTTGCGGAGAAAAGCAATTTTTCATCACAAACAACAATAACAGCAAGAATTTAGCATTTCGTGTCCAATAATATTCGCGAGCATTCCAAACCATGAAGCGTTTGAAAAGCAACGCACGAAACAAAGTATATCTGACAAAGTTCTGGATACAATAAATTTCTTTCTGATGAGTACGAAAACCGATGTTTATTTTAATTTATGGAAATATTGGAAATATGGAGCATTGTTCTTTGATTTGATGAAATACAAAGCGATTTTTCACCGTAATACAACAATTATGAAACACAATTCATGTGTACAATACCTGTTCAATAAAATGACAAATAGTTAGAGCTGTTAATTTTGCTAAAAGTCAAGTATTGGAATTTCTACCTTGTTGCTCAACTTGAAGTACATTTTAACTCTTTTTTGTAGAGCGATGAACTGGAAATAGCTCATGACAGGTGTTAAAATCAATTGAGCGCGAAATTTTATAAAAGCATTACCCATGAATTTCTGCTTCCCGGATTTTCAAAATTCAACACTTCGGTTGCGCACGAGTGGAAATGAAACTTTGTCATAGGGCGTGTACCAGATACTATATAACACGGTTCCCGTGAATTAAAAAAAAAAGTTCATTCATTTTTTGGCTTTATTTGAAGGATGATTACAGTTCATGAAATGTCTTATAAACGCCACACTTTCCTTGGAATTGAGAATCATAAGCAAATGATAACTGTATAAAGTATATTAATAAAAATTAATTTAATTAATTAATTAAACTAAAAGTTAGTGTATAATGACAAAATTCACGTTTTAGATACGGTATAAAAATGCCCTCTAGTCTCAAAAGTGGTATAGTATTACTATATGCGACGAATAAATTTACTTTTGTGATTTCGGAAACTACTAATAAAACAGAAAAAAATGAATGAGTAATACAATGAAGATAGACGACGAAGTCAAGTTGGTGGCAGCTGAACTCATTTTTTCTGTCCAAGGACCGCATTTCGGAAAATCATTCGGGGGCTTCACCCAGTCTTCTGGGTCTCCAACTTTGAATGCCAATTCCATACCTGAGTGTATTGTGAATCATGTATGAGATTGTTGAATTTAGTAACAAGATTGTTGGTCGTTAATACGGGCAAGGAAACGTTTGGGTTTACTTTATACTGTATACTTTTTATTGTGAACTATTAATGATCTGCTATTAAAACATGTATCTAATGCACATTTTCATTTTACACTATCTCAACCCCATATTGATCCAATGCCAAATTTCACGGTACGTGTACACGTTGAATATTGCATTAAAAAGGAAGTTATCATTTGGTAACATAATGTGAAGTTTAATCATACTTACTTACTTAGGAGAGACTTACCGGCTTGAGCGTGAAACAAAAGGTGGCAATGAAAAAACCAGATCCCCGGATTATCGGCCAAGAAGCGAACTACTGTGTAACCACCGTCGGGAACAATAACTGTGTCCTTCAAAATACCATCAAAGTTGTACTCAATGCTTCCATTGTTATGTAGTTCTTTAATTTCTTCTGTAGAGATGAATGCTCCGATTCTAAACAGAAAGGGGGAATTGATAGCCACTTGAGGACTTACCTTATTATTGGCATTAAACAATAAAACTTTATTTCAATTTATTAGGTATATATGTACTCTTTGACATAAATCAAAAAATATCATACAACGAATCCGCAATATGTGTTGTGACATTTGATATTTATTATTAATATTTAATTGTAAAGATAGGTGGAGCAAGGCTCGATAACATAGAAATAGCCGAGGGCCATAGATTATTATCAAATACCATATAAATACTCAATAAATCGATTTTCAAAACACTCTCTAGCGGAAAATGCCCAGAAATGAAGCATGCAGAACGAGAACATTAACATGCACATGATATATGTAAAACGGGATTTTAAGTACGTTATAAAATGAAATAAATTCTTTATTTTTATCAAACAACGATATGTGACAAGAAAAGCATTAAAAAGGTCCTGTACTTACTTTTTCATTGCCACAACAGCAAAATGCTGCCCATGCAAATGCATAGGATGACCCGCATCAAATGGGCGTCCTTCATCATAAAATACCAATTCCACAAGGTTACCGACTTTTACTTCAATCACATAAGTGCACGTACAGAAATCACCCTGGCAAAATTGAGTACGGCTCCACCCTTCGGATTCGGGGTTACAGTTTTGGGTGGTGTCTATTTGGTCATATTGTGTCTGCATCGGGTATTTTGGAAAGGCAAAAGTTATGTTGTTGAACTGAGGTGTATAGGTTATTTGCGAAACCTTATCGATAGGATAAAAATCAGGATGATTAAAGATTGGATTATTGAATTTATTGAAATCAAATCCAATGAAGTGTGTTTGGTCGGGTTGCCCTGAGAATGAATAAATTAGATATCTTTTAAAAAGCCAACCTTGCATACTGCAAATATACGCGTGAGATTTAATAATTACCCGTAAATATTGTTCAAGAAGAAATTGCATAATATATGATTTTTATGTGATATCTTATAGGGTGAACATCAAAAACTATCTAGACACTCATTAATTAACGTGAAATCAATCAAACTTTACTGTTATTAGCTGTGCCCTGTAAGGAATACATGCTTTTATTCCTAAATTCTCTTGAAGGCCGATCATACCTGTCGTATACATTACCTAATTATTTTAGATAATAACTTGAAGACAGATGTCATAGACAAATATAGTACTCGTACCCGCGTATCGTTCGTTTGCAGGATAAGCATTAGAATATGCCCGTTTAAGCGACGAAACTTGCGTATAATTTTCGTTTTCAGCTATATTCAAGGGATTGAGTTGCAACTTCCTTGTGTCTGTTGAATACGATGACATCACTGGGTCCTCGATAGCTGCACCTTGGTACCTGTTGCGTAATGTGTGTATTTTGAATATTTTACAATTTTTTTTTTGTTTTCAAAATATCATGCTTTACTATTTTTATGCCTGTCCGAAAAAGTTACCATGTAAATACTCATAAATTAATTATTCGCTGGATAAATCTATTAAAATGTTCGATGGTATACATGGTGATCTAAAAATGCGAAACCCGGGTCATTTGGAAGATATTCTAGATGGAACATAATTACTAAAACTTTTCGGCTCGATTATACACAAACAAAAGTTATGCTGTGTACCTTAAAATTGCTCTGAGAGCTTGTTCCGGGCGATCGGCCAATCCTTGAATTCTTATCCAGTAGTTTGAGATATTTTGAGAAGCGTTGACAACAAAGTCAAATCGTTCTCCTCCATTAATAACCAAGGACGTAACTAAGTAGGGTTCGATGTCAGCTCCATCTGATGCAATTATGTTGAGTTCATGCCCATCAATTGTAATCTGTGATGAATATTTTTTTCTTGAGTCGCTCAAGGTTTTGTTTTGTGATATATTTATAGACTTTTCCACCTCAAACTAATGTAGAAAAAGATGTGCAAAAAATCCCAAACTTACCTCATATGGACTGAAAATTACTGAGTTGCTTATTGTTCTAAATCTGTATCGCTTATTTTGTTCTACATTAAAAACTTCTCTCGGTGTAAAGTAGGTGGAGTTGTCGGTTGCATCCACAAATTCCTTGCAGAAAGATGAGGGCATTTTATAAACGTCTACATTTCTCAAAGTTAATTATATTCGTTTGTGTCAAGTATATAAATGCGCCTAAAAAATTATCAAACTCTCGATTAAATTAATTTATTACAAGACACAATACCTAATTGCCTAGGCTTAAATTGACAAAATTAAAATTCCCTCCAAATATACTTCATAACCGTAGCTCCGAAGTTGTGCTAAAATATGCTAAAACTTTATTTATGTCATAGAAAATGTGTCGCATAGAAATATTTAAGAATCACTGATTGATCCATTTTTTGCATAAAACACTTTTTACCTTAGATATACCTTTTCCGTTTATCAAAACATTTTCTCCTTTGTTACTTCCAGTAGAATGGTGACTAGCAAGAAATTTCGTTAAAGTCAGTTGATGTAGCCAGTCGAATGCGAAAATCATGTATTCTTCAGAATCTATGCATACAAACATAAACCAGATTTATGGAATCTATTTTTCACCCATACACAAATATATAGTACAGAATTTAGTACTCCTAGAGTATGCGAACCAAGATGGCGGGCACCGGAACGTGGTATGTATATCAGGTTACGGTTAGGCCATAATTAGGCCTGGTACACATAATACGTTCCGGTGTCCGCCATCTTGGTTCGCATAGTACAGGAATAGCCTACCGGTATTTGTCTTACATTACGATCCTAACTTATAAGTATATTTTATTCGCTTATACTTCATCGCAGTTAGAGAAACTTGTATTGTATAATGTACACGACATATTGCTTATAGTTGTATTGTTTTATTGAAATTCACGAACCAACGTCATATAAATCTCGATGCGGATCATCCTGTTCAGGGCGATTGACAACAATAGGACCTGCCAATCCATCAGAAGTTTGTAATCCAGCATGAGAATGCCAGAAGTGTGTGCCTGAAAGACAAAAACATATCTGAACCAGGCTCAAGAAAAGTTTGCCTTCATATTTATCCAAGTAATACCATCTACAACATATGACATAGTGGGACCTATATTACTAATTATGCAAAACTGAATGAACCCAGAATTTTACCTGAAGCCTTCACAACAGACTACATCAATCCCAAAGTTTGACAAGAAGTGAAAATGTTTTCTATACTCAAATATGTGTACAAAGTTTTTTTTTATCTATGTAGAGTTGTCGCGTCGTTTGTACCGATATGTTATTACACCATATTACTACTTAATAGTTGTTTCCATGAAGTTTCATCAAAACCATACTGTTAAATAATATTCTAATATATAGTATTAGAAAAGGGTTGATTTAGTGTTCTGTGCATTGCCATCGTCACAAAAATCTCGCTAGACACCCATTGGATGTTTCCAAAGGAACAATAAAAGACACTATGGATATGGCTCATTTCCCGCAAACTCCTATATACAGTGAAATGCTTTGAGTATAGATATCCTGTTTGCAAGATTAATGTTTGGTAATTCTCAGAACTGGTAATTCTCAAAACACCTTCACGAGCCTCTAGGTTGAAAAACTTTTTCATGTGTTATTTATTGTTAGTAACGGCATTTACGCTCTGTTTAGGACGCGTTCATATGTGTGCGTCGCGTGTTAAAAGAAAATTAAAGGTATTATATTTTCCTTATACATTATTTAGTAAAACTTTGCTAATAATCTATACTGTGTATTTAAAATCTTTATATTCGTTTTTCATAACTGTTTGGGTTAATTTTGCATATATATTACAATTCATATTATAGGACTGGTTTAAAAACAATTCCGCCATTTTGATTTGCCACATATCAAGTAACCTATTTGTATCAATAATATATTCCGCCAAAATGTCGAATATTTTTCTGGAGAAAGACAGAATATTCGATTTAGAAAGAAGTACAATTTGTATTTTCCCGAATGACATCGAAAACTAATTGAGCTATAACGAATGTGGACTGTTCATTTTACAAAAAACCACAATTTGTCATATTGTCTCAAACTGTTGTTTATTGTTTGAGATTTGAATCATGAAAACATTTGACTGTTTGGACATGAATCTAGTCAGAAAAATTTAGGCTGTAATGGATAAATATGCTTATATTATACCTGGCGGATCGGCACGAAATTCGTACGTAAACGATGTTTTGGCAGGAATCGGACATTGGGTTATCATGGGTACTCCGTCCATGTGGGGAGAGTCTCTTACGTGAAGACCGTGCCAGTGTATTACAACTCCTTCGTCGTCATCGAGGTTGTTAACAACTTGAACGCGAACAGTGTCATTGTGACAAACCTTTGATATATGAAAAAAATGAAATAATATTCCGGCTGATTTTTACAGCAAATTTATTAATTTCTTAGCTGACTCAGCTATTCAAAACAAGTAAAGCCTATCGGATCAGATTCGGACTGATCTTTACAAAAATTCAGACTAAAGATTCAATATATAAGATTTTTCATGAGTCTCCGAGGTTTAACTTTTCTATTGTTTTACTATCATCTTATGCGAAATGAACCAACATGACAAAACTATTAGTATGACAAAATGATTTCTTCTTCGAATTGATTTCCAAGTTGATTACTTATAATGCTTAAGTAGAAAAATTTGTACAACATTGATTCCATCCATTTTCGGGCTCCGACATGGCTGTCATGGCAATTGAATCGAGTGTGTCTTTATTTCAGTTTAAAAAAACTTAAGATAAAAATACTAACATTTATGCAATGAATTAAAGATAATATGTAATATTCTACCCGAATAGATGGTCCAGGAAGAGTCCTGTTGACTGTTATAACAGGCCGAGGTATTCCATCAGCTGCGACGCAGTGTGGCCTCAAGCAATCTGAAGCAACGAATGGGCAGTCGTAACATGCCTTTGACATTGTATAATACCTAATTTGAAAGATAAGGTGCTATGATTTATGCTGAACTGTTGTATTTGTTAAAAAGCATTCGATATTTTAGTTTACATCGTTGTCGAATCATTTTCCTAACACATGACGTCATCAAGTAAGTCGTTACCCTTTTTTCCAATATACCTTAAATTAAATTTAAATATAATACTGCTAAGCGATATTGCAAAGTTAAATACAGGTGTACACCAAAAACTCTTTTACGATCTATGAAATTTGATATTACGCTAAAATAATTTGTAAGTAAGTAAACAGCAAAGCCTATAATCATAACTTGACGTATAAAATGAATATTCATGAATGCATTCTTGTTTGTAACTGTTTCTCATTTATTACTTGGTATTTAGATAACATATTATTTTTTGTATCACGGTTTATTGCCGACTAAAAACTCATTTTTCATTTCAATTTTGACAAAACATTGCATCTTCTTACCATTCCACATTGAACTGGTAGTTGCATACTTTAGGAGCAGTCGGTGATTCGCATGGCCGGTCACATGGATGCCGATCTTGGGCAAAATATTTAAACATAATATTCAAATTAGGCAAAAATAGTGAATTGACTCAGGGAAAAAAACTTACTTTTAATTGATAAATGTGATAGTCACATGTTACTATTAAACCATTAAACAAAATTAAAATAATCATATCAAATTGATAAGATTATCAAAATCAGATTGTCGATTAGACCGAAAAGACTATGTGGGCGTTACCTTCACGAGAAATTGGAGTTCGTGAAACACATTCTTGAATAACAGACGTATTTAAAATTATTATTTTTACAGCATTATTTCTAGAAAATATTCTGAGTGGCTCATAGCGATTTTGGGTCAGAAAGCTGTAATGATAGCTTAAAGCAAACCCATCGACAAGTATGACAAACCCTTCAAACTACGTGTAGATAGGTTTATTAATTATTAGTATGAGTTTATATTTTTGCAGAGTCTTTTCGGAGAGACTAATTCATGAAAATTCTTAACTACCTCTGTCACCATGACGAGGAATCCGAATCGATATAAAGCATGTTTGATTATATTTTTCGTTCGATGGTGAATCCAATAAACACAAAAGTTCACTTACCGGCATAAACAGATAATTTTAGTGTTGTCACCAAAATGAAGACTTGAAAGCGGTTCATTTCCCTTCCACGTAATTCGATCATAGCGATATGGCGACTAATATTTCGAATGAAAATAATGAAAAGGAAGTTTTTTTTTATCCTGCACGTTTTGCCCTTTTTTAACAAACTTTTTCGTTTGTCGATAACGCGACCGCTACAAAACATATATTGAGTGTTTGCTTGTTGTCAATCCCGCAATGGAAGCGACAAATAAAGCCGTAGTCATTGTAAATGATGCAAAACCACTCTTTAAAAGGGGTTTGAAAAATTGCTCCTGTCAAACTTTTAGGTAAATAATGATCTATTTTTATCTCTGTCGGTATCCATTTGTTTGGTAATTTTACGTCAGTTTGTTCAAGTAAAACATTGGGCTGTTGAAATTCTATTCATCACATTTTTTATTGGATAAATTTATTGGACAAGAAGTTGACCTATAAATCGTTTTTTCATATCGTATTCTCATTTTGGCTTTGCTGATATCATAAAATCGATTTTCTCATTATCTTCTGAGCGAATTGCTTTGAAAATTTCAGTGGTTGAGGATCGCTTTTTTCGCTAGACGGCTACTACATTTTTTTCACTTTTTAAAATTTTCTGTGGACTTCAGTAAATTCGTTTTTTTTTTTGTGAGATGCCAATAACGTCACCAAAATTAAAAATTGCTCACCTTGCGGCGGTTCCGCAATCGTCTGATCAGGCGAAGTCGTGAAGGCTTTGTTACCGGTAGTCTACTGTGACAGATTGCATACCCGTACTACTTCGTTTTGGATTTCGTGTCTATATATTTGGGCAACATAAAATATAACCGTGAAATTCCATTTTAAGAAGATGCACTATTTAGTAAAAACGCGAATGTAACGTTTTTTAGAAAGTAATCAAAATTTTGTAAAATGAGATTGATCAAGACCTAACTTCACTGAAATCACACAAACTATTTCATGGTGATCATATCAAAGATATGGGTGGGCTTACCTTTCGAACATGAGCTACGTCTGGAAACTGCCCGAATGTAAACATTAATTTTATGAAGTCACCGAGTGGCCAAAAATTCGTTTTAGTAAGACTGCGTCTGAACACATTTCCCACAAAACAATTATTAGTAGTTTTGTGCGTAGATCTGTTTGTAATTATTGACGTTCAAAGAACACGGCTCTTCAGGAATTATTTTCAAGCACAAACAGAAAAATCACGGTTGTTCTTAGTTCAAACATGCAACATTTTTATTGCTACAGATCTAGAGCATATTAATTATGTAAAAGTTACGTAACAATAGGGGGCAGAAATCAAACGACATAAGAAGGTAAAATGAATTTATTGATACATATACATAGCATTCAAAATGAGAAACAATAACACATTTATAATGAATACAATATGTAAAATATTCAATCATATATTAGTTATTTTTAACGCAATTCTGGTAATTTTCGGGACGCACTTAGCAAATCGCCCAATCAGATAAACAGTCGACTTAAAAGGTATCATTGATGGATTGTCAAGCAAACATTTTAACTCTTCTTTAAACCTACGCTTCAATTTTCCATCGGAAACGCAAATGCGATTCGTCAAGACCAACAAAACATAAAAAAATAATATATAAAAGAAGACTGCAAACCGGCTGAAATTGCCCTGTAAAACAATTACTTGTCTCAATTTTCAATCACGCTAATGTTTCATTAAAGGCAATTGAAACAAAATGAACTGGAAAAAACTGAAATAAAATGGCCTTGAATATAAAAAAATACCATGAAACATTTCAACTTCAACAGAAATTAGGTCAGCAATGCTCCAATATATGGACACGAAAACCAAACTAAAATCGTTTACAGAAGCCGAACGACTTCGCCTGGCCACAACATTTTATCTGTGCATTATTGGTTGAATATCGGCCATTCTCGGCCAATAAATTTTGAATCTTTTGTCGATTTTTCATTTGTTGTATTGTTATACTTTACGGTCCGGTTCTCTTTTGTGTTGTGCAGACCAGGGCTGCCACTTTAGATGTTTTATAGCTAGATCTAGATGTTTTTTTCATGATCTAGATGTAAAATTTGGAGTCTATATGTTAGCTATAAAATCTAGATATATATTTTTTTAACGTTCCAAATATTATGTAGTGGGAGATGAATAAAGAGTGTGTATAATACTGTAATATGTGAACAGATATCACTTCATCAAGTATCAACCCTTGTTGGCTGTGGCAGTCAACCTTGCAAATTGCCAAACAAGTTCCACGAACTTGTAATATAAAACGGCAGCCGACCAGTAATAGAATCTTTGTTTAGACGAGGGAGACAGCCATGCAAAAACAATCATGCGTAAATGCTTCCATAAATATTTTTTTAAATCTATTACTCGTCCATATTCTTCGTGGAACTGAAGATTATTTTTTTCACCAGAATATAAATATTTTCTTTTAATATTTTATAACTCGCCAAATTGATATTAAAACTCTTATTAGCATATTCATATCTATATATATATATACATATCCAGTTTCATCCAACTAAATAACCAAGTTAGATCGACCTATACTGAGTCTACTTGTATGTAAATATACATTACATATATATATATATATTTCTGTAATATGTCGGCAAATTAGCATTCAATTTAACTGCCGATATTTGTATACATTTAAATACTTCTATAGTTTTTAAGAAATTTGTTTTGTTTCATATGTGTTGAACCGAGCCATCAACTTTCAAACTTTTCTAATTGACTGGGGGTTACGAAAAACAGAAAAAGGGGATTCTGGTATAAGATCTGCGAAAATACATTTCAACAGTGGAAAAAAAAGAACGTCTTACCTAAAGGACAGTTGGTTCAGCTATTTCTAAGACAATACACCCCAGAAATCAAAACAATATAAACATGATATTGTTGAAATTTATTTTTCACATCTGTAAATAGGGCTTCTGAGTTTACCAAAATTTAACCAAAAGTCGTAGTTCAAAAACATCCAATGACACGAGACACATTTTTTCGTCCTTATACGTGTCAAGTTTAAATCCTTCTAACTCTGCAATAAATACTAAAGAACAACCTGGCCTGTATGCCTGTTTAGGTGATTTGGGCTGATATGCTGTTTTAGGCATGTGCAAGAATGTTGTCAGTGAGAATCATAACGTGTTTAAAATTTGATGACGTTTTACGTTGTTACGCAGACGTTGCAAACGTATCAACGCAGCATTATTGCGACATAGTCTTGTTTCTCGATTAATCCAGGCAATTCTAAATTATCGGCACGCTGCTTCGATGAGTTGGCACCGTCTGCAGACCCGATGTAGAATCTTGAATTTGAACGTAAACTCGGAACTCATGAACTGCTATTCCAACCCAAATACATGCTTTGTGGCCTTAAATTATAGTTCAGTTTTGCAGCGATCGCACATAAAATACCATGCCATACACCAAAGATTGCAGTTCAATATTTGCGGAATATGACAAATGAAAAATCGTTTCCAGCAATGATATGATACACAGCACGAAAGTTTATTTTTCCGTTTAGTTCAAAACTTGTTTTTAAATGCCATTTTCCCACTTTTTATTATCGACCGGCATCTTTAACACTGCGCAAGGTAATTGGTTAGTCATGTTTTCGTTCTCGCTAATATATCACATTTTTCACTTTTGAGAAGAAATATTCACACAAGTAGGTTATTCCTGTTTCTGCGCAACAAGCATTGCCCCACAATGAGAAACTTTTCCTCAACGGGTATCAGTAGTTGCCTCGAGATCTTTGCGTTCAAGTTGTGTATATTCCAAAGCCACTCGCAAAGGAAGGTGGAATGAATACATGGTGATTTTAAACAATATGAAGTGCTTGTTTGTACTGTATTGACTTTCCAGCAGCCTTGAGTCAGCAAAGTGGTTCGGCCGAGTAATTGAGGCGTGATAACACGTTACAATAGCACAATACAAAATAATGATTTATTTGAGTAACACTCACTTAGAAAAGTTGTGGAGTTTACTATAAACAGGTGGTCAAAAAATCGGCGGGAAGAACTTCCCGTGAACCGCACAAAATCGCCCGCACACTGCTGCTGTAGAGCCTAGTTTGGACAACATGCCGTGAACACCCCATTTTCGTATTACAGTAAGTCCTCGGGTTACGACGGTCCCGACTTACGCTGTTTCGAGGTTACGAACGCACTCCATAAAAATATGAAAGATAATACTGTAATATCGAAGCCCTTAAACTGGATCATTGTGATCAAGAAAATCAGTGCTTTGGGCTCATTGGTTTTCGTCATTTACATCAAAATCGGACTTCTCACGATAAGCTGCCTGATGTATTTAATTTTGATACGTATTTTTGCAATCTTGCGAACTCGTTACCGCCGTTAGTAAAATCTCGAAATCTGATATAAAATCACGTTTAGTACAATTTTACTCCATACAATGAAAATAGATAAATAGTATACCAGTAGGCCTAAATCAAAAATACAAATTCACCGCCTCGAAATCCACGCCGAACAGTCACCGCGATTAATTAGGCCACTTGTTAAAAGAGCCGTTATTTTCAACGAAAATTGATTTTTCTCTTGTGCAAAGTAATCAATCTATGACCAATACGACCATATTCAAAATATCTTGCTTTTTTAGTTTAATTGTCATTAATTTAACTTGCAATTGCGTCGACAGAACAAGAGCCACGTTAAAACAGCACGGCAATCCGCGGGCATAAAAGTAAAAATGTGTGTAAAACTGCCCGACAATATATTGGTTTGATCTGTATTTTTTCTATTTTGCGAATTCGACAAATTTGAGATGTACTTGTCACACTGACTCTGTTCAGTCGCAATGCTGCCACTCCGATTATTTTTAAAGATAAAACTTTTCGAAAAATTCGTATATATATATATATGCTATAAAATTCTCATGGAGTAAAATTTATTTTAGTGCAATAACAATTGATCCAATAAATATACTTCAGATTAATTATCTTATATATCATCAAAACCGGGTAAAAATCGCGTTTCCAACCTTGTTTATAATACCACGAAAATTTTCGACGACAATTTCAAAGCAGTGGATAAAAAGGCAAATCCCGCCAACAATTAACCGTGTTTTGATTTCAGTGACGGTATGTTTCTAAACGGATACCCAATATAATGTATGCCCTAGGCATACGAAATTTTGCGATTTTCAATGCCTATAAAAGCGTTTTTAGACTGTCGCGGGCCTCAACAAAACTTATATTGTTTACGATTTTATTTTCAGTATTTTATATTGCCGCTTTTCATTTAAAAAATTTAGATCGCGGATTTACACCTTCATTTGTATTTAGAACCTCGCCACCGATGAACGTATAATCCCTCTCACCGAATTCACAATTCCGTGCAGGTACAAAAATAAAATGTAAAGGCGTTTACGGCCTAAATGATACACTGATGAAACAATCGGCGATTTTAGCAGAAGGCAATTGCACGCGTTATTGGCGACTTTTTCAGTTTTCACGATTCCGTGCGAGTACAATAATAAATTATTTATTAAATTAATTATCATTAATTGTTAGTGTGCATCAAAGATAAGCCATCAGCATGGAAGTGAAATTAAACATGATTATGCGATCTAAAACGGTGAAACACCAACGAACATTGGTAGGTCGCTTGACCTTACTTAGTCGTTCAACTGTGACTGTAATTTATGTATAATGTTCCGACTTACACGAAATTCGGGTAACACCGCATCTCAAGAGCGGAACAACGTCGTAAGTCGAGAACTCCCTCGTCTCGCTGTATAATGTTGTCAGAAAAGGAAAGGTTCGGCGAAATTGCTTGAGAAATATTGCATCATTCCGCGCGTCATCCATGCGTACTAATCAGCTGTGATCACTATAACACAGGGTGAAAAATGAGGTAATGTAACTCAAACTTTCATACTTTTCACCGCAACATATCCCTCCTCAAATAGCTTGCAAAATAAGCTAATAGTATCGTTATTGCCCGCAGGTAAACTTCTAATTGTATAAGACCGCCATATTTTTTCTATTTTATTGACATTTCACATAGTTTTGGTAGCGGCCTAGACTGGGCATATTTAACCCTGCGGCGTTTGTTTTGCCGGCCACGCGTACACGACGCACATTGTTTACTTTTGGCATTTCGTCTTTTTGCCAGTTTGGAGCGAATTTCGTGCTAAGTTACGGTACCGTACTGCTTGGTGGCTTCGTTTCTGTTGGTAACTCAGTAAGTTGTGGAAAACCGTGAATGTCGTCGAAGAATCTTTTACTTAAAGCATTAGACATGAATATCGGATTTATTGGAGCTGGTAATTTGGCCGCTCATATGGCCAAAGGTTTCATAAAATCTGGTAAGTCTGTAAGTGATCGAAATCTGAATGTTTCATAGTTAAGGAACAATTGGTGTTTTGTAACTATAGTCTATAGGCGACAAGATTGGGATTATCTGTTCAAATAATTTTACACTTGTTTATTCAAGTTTTTTTCAAATATTTCATTCTGTTAGTTGCATGCTAAATTGTCTTACCATCTCCGTGCCGCACGTAGGCTCAGACATTTGGCATGTCATGGTCACTGATTGCACGCCAATGAAAAATGCCATGAAATACAGACTGGCCTGTGTACCAGCCATTCCTAGTTCAGTACAGTTCTTCGACTAGCCAGACTCCAAGAATAGCCCCCACATTAAAGGATATTAATTATAACAGCGAGTGCAAACTCCTTCACGAAACAGTGTAGGCCTTCATATCCCCACAAATCAACTGCGCAATAAACTAAAAGAAAGTGCAATCTAAAAATGTGACTGTTGGTTTCCTCTGAAAAAATAATCTGATCTACTGAAAGAAAACTTTTTCGAGAGATTTTGTAAAAAATTTAGGTAATGTGATCATGTGACGACAGATACAAATCTCGATTGATTTGAATTAATATAGAGACAAGCATGGGACGATCTGGCATGGTGTCAGACTCCCTTGTTTCAGAGACAAATAAAGTGTTTGTTTTATCGAACCAAATGTCGGTATATCTCGGAATCGGAGAACTGTGTCCAAATGTAGTTAGACTGAGATTGAAGTTTGCAATTCGTTGGTAAAATTCAAAAGTACCCATATTACTGAAGAGATTATTTAATTTTTAGGTGCTGTTCGAGCAAGTCAAATCACTGCAAGTTCTCCTGAAACAAAAAAAGAAACTGTAAAAGAACTTAAGGTAAGTATGTTTTCTTGATTAACTAAACGTTCCGTGATACCTATTATGGGTTTATGGTGGTTTAAAGCTAAGTTTCAATAAATCAATTAATCTCAAACTAGTACATTTGTTTTTAGGAAATGGGAGTCAAATTTTCCCCTGACAACAAAGTCACAATCAAGAATAGTGAGGTCATTATGCTAGCTGTCAAACCAAAACTTATTCCTTATGTCCTCGAAGAAGTTGCTAGCAATATAACAAGTGATCAGCTCGTGTTCTCATTTGCTGCAGGAGTAACAATAGCTTCAATTGAAAAGGTAACTCACTGTTTTCCACTAGGGTAATTGAAGAGTAAAATAAATGCTCGTTGTTCAGATACACTTGCTTTTGAAGTGTTGCCACACCACGGCATAACTAAAGCATATCGTATTGCCACCACAGCATATCGTAATATCCTGCATTGGTTTATTTCCATGGATAGTAGTTATGTTCAAAGTGGATTTCCTGCTGGTGTACCAGATCACATTTACGGCTTCTCCCATCATCATCTGAGATGAATAATGGGTTTACTATTTACAAATGTGACTTGGATCGGCAACCAGACAAGAGGCCATGGCGCGTCATTTGATTTAAGCCTTCTCACTTTCCTCCTTACCAAGAAAGCTTGAAATTCTTATCTTGTTCTAGATTTCATTGGAAAAAGATAAGTTCTTTGATTCACAAGACATTTGTATATTTTTGAAGGAATGCCGATTTACTGTGGCAATATATATCTATAGAGTAGGACAGGGGTCGGCAATCTTTTGTCGCTCGCGGGCCAAAATTAAGGGTTGCAAGTCGTTGGCGGACCACACATAATATTAGAAAGTTGAAAACCGAACGGATGATACTTTTTATAATAAAAATCAAGCAGTGATACATCTCTCGAATAGAATATAGATTTATTTCCTCGTTGCGTTGCATCTCAAAATTCAATTTTAATGTTTTCTGCGCCACTATAATTAAATTATTGGCTCATTAAACGAGTAATTGTGAATTTTATACATGTTAAATTATAATATAATTTAGTCTTATCATAAATTCTGTTACCTAAAGAATATAATCGTCAAAACAGTTGGTTTGTTACTATTATTCAATAAAGCTTCGCGGGCCGGATTATATTACTCCTCGGGCCAGATGCGGCCCGTAGGTTGCAGACCCCTGGAGTAGGCCATTATCATTTCTAATGCTTGTAATTTCTAGAAACTGCCTTCCAATATGAAAGTTATGAGAGGAATGACAAACACATGTTTAGCTGTTAAAGAAGCTGCTACTGTATATGCTGCAGGTAGGATTGGAATACTAAAAAGTGCCCAAACATTGTCCAAGTACTAATTCCTATTTGAACTTTTAGGCGTCTCGACCAGTAAATAATTATTCTTACACAAATTTCATGCTAAGGAACAAATGTCACTGATGAAGACACGGCAAGAATGGAAGATTTGTTTCGAAGAGTCGGGCTAGTAGAGGAAGTTGAAGAAGCGCATGTTAATGCTGTCACTGGCCTTGGAGGATCTGGGCCTGCTTATGTAAATCTCTTTATATTACATTTACTGCACCCCCATCCACGAAATGGTTGAAAACTGCATCTGACCTATTTCACACATTGGGCAAGGTGTTGCCCAATTGCCATACAAATTAGCACTAAAGTGCTATTTGTATTCTTATTTGTTCTGAACTAGAGATCTATTTTGGTTCACTAATTACTTCATTTTTCACAGGCATATGAAGCAATTGAAGCTCTTGCGGATGGTTCTGTAAAAATGGGCTTGCCAAGAGGTCTTGCAATGAGGCTGGGTGCCCAAACACTAATTGTAAGTAAATACATATGATTATCACCTCGTTGGTAATTTTGCATTAATATGCCTTATATTGACATTAAATGTGTATCGCTTTCCGTTAACTTAAAAAATCACACTCAGTTTAGTATGTACACATTCTTATGGTTTCATTATTTGGGACTTAAGTAATGATGATATGATGCCCTCACAGAAAGGATGTTATTTTGTCATTTCACAATCTATTGATTGATCTTTCAACGCTGTTCTCCTGTCACTATTGTTAAAGGGAGCTGGTAGAATGTTATTGGAAACCAAGAAACATCCTGGCGAATTGAAAGATGCAATTTGTTCTCCCGAAGGTGCCACAATATATGCTCTTCATTTGTTGGAAAGGGGAGGATTCAGGAGTTTGCTCATGGATGCAGTGGAAGCATCTTGCATTAGGACAAAGTAAGTTTTATTATAGTAATTTTAGATGACACATGACAGAGCTCCATTTCATATTAAAACTCATCTCTCTCATTACACAGAGACCTGGAGGCTGTCGGGGATGAAGCATATACAGATAATGAAGAAATAAAGAAGAGAATAAGAGAGGGACTACATTTGAGAGACTTAATTGATAATAGTGTTGGAAATAAATGAGCGTCATAGCATTACATAGATGCAAACAACAACAAAATGGTCGAAACGACGGAGAATGTCCCCGATTTATTCTCGCTTGCTATTTTGCTTAAACACTATCAGTGCATAATCTATTTTACTGTTTTTTAATTGCTCAGTATTGTTTTGAAAATCATGATAAACTTTGGATTTTAATATTTGTACCTCGATTGTATCAGTGTGCAATTCACAATTTTACTGCATTGCTGCTTTTATTTTTAATCGCTGAAGCATACATACGTACAACTTTTCTTTCAAATGTAATGATGTTAACCAGAGTTTGGTGCTGAAATAAAAAAAAATTGCATCCTATTTTTCTTCTCATAAATGCGTTTGATTCTGAAGACTAGATATCCAGGTGGGATTGTATTTTGCCCACTTCACTGTCAAACCTGACAATTATTATGAGGTAATATCGCATATCTTGAAAAAAAAATTTTCTAACTGGAACTGCAACCTTTTTTCAATGGTGCTCCTATGTATTTATGCTTTGTGGAGATTGACTTACATGTTAATTAAAATGCATAGCTATGCTCAAATCTAATCTCACATTTTGGAAGGGGGATGTGAAGCGTAATAAGTAGTTGATAGAACAATGGTATGGGGTAACGACTCTTTGCGGTACTCTGCTGTTTCCATAAGTGTATAATTAAATAGGCTGGGTAATCGTGCAACACAAGATGAATACTCTCGATTTGATGGCCTTTTTCAAGCTACTTATACGAAGAAGTATTTATTTTCTAGTCAATTTATTAAACTTTTATAACATCTATATAAATTCGTCAATTGTGGCGCTTGAAGGATTGTGCATCCTGCATAATTCTTTTCGCTTCTTCCTGTTCCTTGTGTTTTTCAATTATAGTATTTCTCAATTTCTCCTTCATCTGGTGATTCAAATCTTCCCTGGTTGGACCATAATTTTCCTGAAGTATACATAACAATTTATTGGGGTGCTCAGAATTGGTTTATTTAACATAGTATCTTTATACCAAGGGTTCCTAATCGACGGGGGGAATTAATTTCCTATTTCTTTACTTCAATTTTTTTCACTACATACATCTACATGATTAAAAAATGTGGTCGTTGAACATGTAGCAGATAACACAATAAATGCTCTTGCTATAAATTAGCATTGCTGCCCGCTAAGTTAGATCAAAACAATTTTCTACATTGAGTCATAGGCTTAAAAATTCGAGGGAAAGTTCAACTCATTAAATTTGTGATCTAGTAAATGAGAGAATAAACCTTCAGTCTACGTAAAACCTGTGGAATTCTTCATCAATATGACCAAGTAACTGTCACTGGATTAACGTTTCACTTAAATAGAGCTTTATATATTTAGAAGCAACAATTCAATTCTTCCACTTACTTTATAATATAAAGTTGCTCGATCAAGTAATGGATCTCTGAAATATTGAATAAATATAAATAGAAAGAAAAACAGGGCTGCAACTTTTTTAATCATCAACCAATCAGATGAGACTTGGGGTTGTGTTTCCTCTGTTTCAACCCCAGCAGGTGAAATTGTAAAATCGTAGGCTTTGTCCATTTGATCTGAAAATATAAACATGTTTAACCATAAATCACACACAGTCACATAGAATGAAAGATGCTGTGTGCTGTATATTATGTCAAGCTTATTACATAAGTTGAGTATAATATCTGCATATATTAGCTAGTCTTGTTCTATACAGCATTTTTTCAAGTAATAGACCTGATCGCATATAGAAATATCAAAACAACTACAGAACTACTGATTTGAAATACAGACACAGAGAGAGAATAGCAAAGGCAGAAAATGAGTCAGCAGACTCATGATTTGGCTTCATGATTTTAACAGCAGAATTACCATAGAGTTACATGTTATATATTATAAAATAATATATTATGCCCCTTACCATCTTTCAAATCTGCGTCTTTGTGTTTCTCCAGTGTTTCCATTATCTTTCGGTAGGCATTATTTATCAGAATAAATTGCTCTTTTGCCTGCTCATCCGCTGGATTATTATCAGGATGATTTTGTTTAGACAAGTTGATGTACGCATTTCTTATCTCTTTGGCAGAGGCTCCTGGATCCAACTCCAAAATTTTGTAAGGATCAGCCAACAAGTCGTCTGTGTTACTTGCCGCGTCCGACGAAAATTTATTAACAAAAACCCGTGGAAAATTAGTTTCTTTGTGAACTATTGTGCATAATGCCACCGAGTATTGGGCTGGTATGTTACGTGCTACATTCCTGATATTAAGAAAAAACGTTTTTTTGCTAGAAATCCTTAAACTACGACAAAAAACGCTCATACCATGGCAAATGAGGGACAACGGAAACGACTTAACAACCCCACGAAATTACCAAATGATCCCAAAAGTTAATAAAAGAACCAGTGATGAGGAGAGTCGAAATTTTAATGCTCCGGACCTGTCCAATAAAATCGGATTTCGATCGCATGCAATGGGTGTATTACAAGTTTGCGAATAAAAACGTGCGATATAAACTCTTGGGATATTAAAAAAATGGTATCTTAAAAAAAACGTTGCAGCCAAGGCGTGTTTGGTCAACATCAGTCACTTTGGTCAACATGAACGTTTCCCCGACCCTTGAACCCTAAAAAAATACTCCCTATACTATACACGTTGAAAAATAATAAACGCTAATTTAGAAACTGTGTTTTGTAAAGTTGGCGCTTGAAAACTAGCTCACATGTTCAAAACTATATTTTTTATTCAAAACAATAAACCACGTGCCGCTTACAGGTACTGATATCTAATTTTAGCGTAGTTTATCGCAGCGTTTGTGGTATTCTTCGGAAGACATAATGGCAATAAGGTTATTTGATTTATAAATATTTTTGGGAACACAACTGAAAAATAACACACAAAATCACAAAACGAGGCAATGTTTAAAACCAGACTTGAATATCTGTCTGATCGAAAGAAATGTCTGAGCGCCTGCATAAATTGCTATTGTTACGTCATCGTTAACCTATTTCTGATTGGTCATTGATATGAATATAAATAGGGATATCGATGCTCAAGGAAACATTCCTTGTTGAGGTCGTTTCTCAGTTTAGCGTTGCTCAAGGTATTTTGTCATCACAAAAAACAAGGGTACAGAAACCTGATACAACAAATAAATATACCTGTTATTTGTGTGACCGAAGTTGTGAGGGACCTTCGCAGGTTATTTAAGCACCGACACCTACAACGATGATACAGGTTAGTATAAAAAGGAACTGAAGATATACACTTATTGTATCTTGCTAATGTTAATATAACTTGACCCGACCCTATATCTCTGCGATCTAGCTATATAAATCCCGGGGATAAATCTGACATCGGTTTGGAAAACTAGTGTTAGTTATAAATTTCTCCCTCGTTGTCAAGGGCATTGCGTCTAAAAAATCTAATTGTAACCTCTATTTTTGTTACTTGTGATATCCTAGCAAAAATCGGGTGCGCACAACTCTAGACCAGTGGTTCTCAACCGCCGGTTTTATGCAGTCATGGCAAAACGTAATATTCTTTCATTACCATACTGCCCTATCTCTGTATTTAGAAGGTGTCATAAGTTAAGTTATATATTAATTCGGCTGTGTATAAATACCTTATTTTCATTTTTGCGTCTAAATAAATGATTTTTGCATCGATGTCTCATTTGCAGCATTAGATGGCGTTAATTAAACATCACTTGACTACTCAGCATTTCAGATATGCTGTTCATATTATTGAAGAAAATGAAAGAGGGATGCATACAGTATTACAATGTATAATTTATGATTATATTTTTGTTGTGATGAATGGCTATTTTATTAGTTGACATATTGTCACGGATTCCATTATCCGCGTGTTTCAAGTCGGTTTGTCTTTTTATATTTTCCTATATGCCGGATTCCATTATCCGCGTGTTTCAAGTCGGTTTGTCTTTTTATATTTTCCTATATGCTTTTCGATAATCCTTAATTCGGATATACTACATCCGGGTCTTGTTACTCTGATACGCCGACCACCATCTGGTCGTAAGAAAAAAGAGCTTCACTCTTATATTCGCTTAGTTGGATGTTGGACATCTTTTCCTGTGTTCAATGTTTAAGCTGTTTTAACTGAAGAAAAAAAATGACACAAGAAGACAATGAAACTTTGCCAGCACACCGTTAACATGTAGGGGAAGGTGGGGCACGTTGGGACATGGGGCACAGGGGAAAATCAGCTCTCACACTGATACTATATCCGCAATCCTGTCCGCGGTTTGATGTTTCAATCCGCCCTTCGGTGAGTTACAACGTCCCCACGAACGGACAACGGACGGGTAGAGCGGCGCAAACTATGAGGTAAAAATGGTGTTTGGAGGTTAAAACTAAAATTTCACCGTTTCTTTTTCTACTTTAGCCTTTCCAACATGACAAACCACCGTCTGATATTTTCCAGCTCTAGTCTACTGTAAAATATTCATAACATTGGCGAAAGGAAGTGTCTTCCGAATTTCGCCGTGGGATGGTCTGAAAATATTTGACAATGGACCGGGGTTCAGGGGGACATGCCTTACAGGGCACAATTCGAGAGTGTTTGATACAATAAGTGCTTAGAGACCTAGAGATGCGGTATATTTTGTGTGAGATTATGGTTTCTTTCGACTCCCAATATGGAATATATTCGAGAATCAATAATATTTCCAGATTCAGATTCGAAGAAGAAAATAATTAAATTTGTTTGCGAAATTTTTTGTCAAAATATCTGAACTATTTCAGTGAACATTGATTTCAAAAATATTGAATCTTCAAATTTGAAGTCTCCCTGTTCTTTAGACGATTATGTTGATTAATTGCTTATTTTTAAGGGCATACTTCGTTGAATTTTGACAGACTGACCCATTGTGCCCCAGGGTCTGTCCGAATGTGCCCCACAAGTGGAGTACAGTGGGACACTTGACAGACGTTTTGGTAGTAAGATGTGTGTCGCAAGAGAATTTCTTAGTCGCTGAATAAAAACTACATTTACCCCTCTTTGCAATAGTCCCACCAACTTAAGTGAATATGCAGAATTAATCACAGACCTAAAACTTGAGGACAAACATGGTATAAAAAGCGGTATTCGCAGATTTTTCATGAAATAAAGACAATTAGAAGATAAACCTATGAAGAGATATGTAAAAATCAAAGAATACTACACATTTGTCAAATACCGGAACCAAGTTCATACCTGCAGAGTTTGTGGTGAGAGAATTGAACTCAAAGTTTCAATCCCAAACTAGCCAGTATGAGAATACATAACAAAAAAAAAAACAAGAAGTCACAGTATTAAACGATATACAAAAACACAGCGGTATTGACAATGAAAACAAAATTATTGAAGAATAAATGAATACTGGAAGAGAACATGAAGACCAGGATGGCCCAAAAATATTATCAATATAAAACCAAGAACAATAAACACAAAGCACTCCAAATCTACAGAAGAAAATCCATCGGAACCAGCTTTTCTCTGGTCTCTTCGGAAACTTGTCTAGAATAAGTGAAAGTGATGAAGAAAATACAACAGATGTCATAATACCATCTACAGATAGTTCAATAAGTATTGACAAAACGATCTCATATATTTCTCGACCTGAACCCGATACAAGCCAACCACCCAACAAGAAAATGAATCGAAAAGGTACATCTAAGTCCCGATCTCGCTCTTCAAAAAAGAAAGAACTCTATCTCTAAAACAAGCTAACGAACTATCACAACAGATGGATGAAGAGAATTATCCTTGACCAGATTACAAAACCTTTAGTAAGTTAGGTTAGTCAAATATACTTATTTCATGATGGCGTATCTCACCATACTCACTCTCAATGTCAAGGGTCTAAGTAAGAGAAGGTAAGGAACGGAAAATCATATTTCAAGAACTTTCAAAATGTAAAGCAAATTTGCTATTCCTCCAAGAAACTCACAGCACACCGGAAGTTATTAAAATGGAGTAGAGAGTGGTTTAGGGGACAGAGCTCATGAAATTCTGCAACATCTAATTCAAGAGGAGTTGCAATTTTAACAATGTCAAAATTCGCATCATTTGAATTTGAAAACACCAAATGGAATAATACCGGAAGAGTGGTTACTACTGATATAACATATTTGGAGAAAGAATGCATTTAGGTAATATATTCGGACCATTGTAAACGAATATCACAACCCAGGAACTATTTCACAAAAACATATACAGATTTGTAAATTCACAGTATCCCATCATATTAGGAGGAGATACAAATTGTGTGCTCGACCCTGAAAGAGACCGATCTTCAATTGCAAAACGAAGTAAGAGAGAATATGAGTTGGAAGCTCATGAATTTGTACCATGCTTTGACATGATAGATTCTGTAGAATTATTTACCCGAAGCACCTCCATTTTATACGTGGAGGAATAATTCAGTACAAACTGGAAAACATTGAAAATGAAACAAAATGGTGGATCGAAATAAAGAATAAGATCAAAGAGTTGAATGTTTGCTACTCGATGATATTGGCTAAAGAGGCTCAAAATGAGTACAACAACAAAATGAAGCAATTAAAAGAGTTGAAAAAAGATTAGACAAGGGAGAAAGACTTCTCACTCAATTTAACAATATGAAGAAAAATTTGGCTAATAAACAAAAAGAAAGAGATAACAAGATTCGAATACAAAACATGGCAGATTCCTATGATAATCACGAAAAATGTACTAAATTCTTCTTCAAGAGATGAAGAAATAAGACTAAAGAAAGTTCCATTCAAAAGTTAAAAGAACAAGAATGAAGTTATCCAAAATAAATTGGGAGACAAAATGCAAATTGTACAAGATTTTTACCAAGAATTATTCAATAAAAAGACAACAAATGAACATTTCTAAAACGTATTCCTCGATACAATTCCAGTTGACACAAAAATTGAAACTGCTGATGATGATATGTTACAGAAAGGCATTGAAGAAAGCGATGAAAAACAAAAAACACCTGGTCCTGAAGGACTCAGTGTAGAGTTCTACAAGCAATGCTGGGATATAGTGGGTCAAGATGTTTTTGAAATAATACAAAAAATGTTCAACAAATCGTTTATCCCAAAATATATATATAAAAATGGAAAACAAGATGATATAATGAATTACAGACATATTACTCTATTGAACACTGACTATAAAATATTCACAAAAATTATCGCCAACAGGATCAAAAAAGTACTACCAGAAATCAATAACCCACATCAGACAGCAGTGCCAGGACGGAAAATACCTGACACACTATTTATTCTAAGCAACCTATGTTCTCAAGAACAACAGAAATCAAATGAATCAACACTAGATTTTAACAAGGATTTCGACTCTGTAGACTTGGAATACTTGTACAATGTTTTG